TAGCATAGAACTGGAGCATAGCCTTTTATCCTGATCAGGGTGCCTGCAATCAATAGATGTGTTTCTCTCACATCAATGTTTGTCTTTCCATCTCTCTTCCACTCTCTCTAAAAAGATCAATGTAAAAATGTCCTTGGGCGAGGATTAACTATATATACATATACATATACATATACATATACATATACATATACATATACATTTTCAGTACACACAGGAAGGTTTTGTGCCCTTCCTAAAGGCCAAGAATACCTGAGGCTGTTACTCTAACTGCGAGGACCACCAAGTCCCTTGGTATAAATCAGCAAGGGATAGTTGATAGGGTGGAGTAAGGCTTGGGGCTTTGTCACCTGTGATGATGATGTGGGATTGACAGGTGTAGCTGCTCCAGATGTGGCTGACCAAGTGTAGAACAGCAGTATGGGGTACCAGGCATGACTAATTTGCACTGAGATTCAGATGGGTGTTGACACTGGAATAGACTCTCAAAAATTACCACTTAACAGAGTTCTAGCCCTAAGAAAGTGGGCAGGCTCTATGAAGCAGAGGCTGGGACAGGTCAGGGTCCACAGTGACCACACAGGCCCTTGATGGCCATGGGATGCCCACCTTCCTGATGTCTCTCCTTTGTCCATCCCCGATTCATTCCTCAGGGAGGGAGCCGTGACTGGCTTCTATGCCTCTGTCAAGTCCAGATGTACTTCTGGGGCCCTGCAGCATGAACACCAGCACCTAGGAGAAGTGTCCGGCCTTGGAAAGCTGGCACTAAGCTGGCTAGTGAATGAGACCAGGTCATTGATTGGCTCACTGAAGAGACTGTTCGCTCAGAGACTTGAGAAGCCCAGGTCTAGTTCTACTCTGCAGAGCTTGGTTGCATGGAGACTGGTGGGGCTGAGGAGGGATTGCCTTCTGATTGCTTAAATGTAGCAGGCTGTTCCTTCTACAGAAGTCTTGAATCCTGCTCTAGCCCAGCTGGCCTGGCTCAGTGGATTGAGTGTTGTCCCATGTACCATAGAGGTCTCTGGTTCGATTCTCTGTCAGGGCATATGCCCAGGTTGTGGGCTTGATCCACAGTAGAGCGTGTGCAGGAGGCAGCTGATCTATGTTTCTATCTTTTCTCCCGCTTTCTATAAAAAATCAATTAAAATATACTTTAAAAAAGAGTTCTGGTATAGTAAAGGTACAGGGGAGCCAGGAAGAAATGCCTCTATCTATGCTCTAAATACCCTGTGGGTGCTGGGGACCAGCATTCAAACCAGCTATTTTCAGTACACACAGGAAGGGTTGAGGCTTTAAAAGCAAACGGTGAAAACTAACAAAGTCATTTGTGCAATTGTTTTATGGAGTTGTGAATCTACATTCTATTTGACAGGTGATTTATGCTAATGGCTGGCCCTGCTCCTGAGTCCCCGCCTCCAGCAGTTCTCACGCTTCTCTATCCTGGCCAGCTGGGCTGGCTTCCTTGGTGCATGTCCATTGGCCCCATCACACTGTCTTCACCCTGGCCCATCTCCTGTGCCCCTCAGTAGTAGGGTTTCTTGAGGATATTGATTGACCCTAGGTCCTCAAAGCCCAGCACCATGCCAGGCTGATGGTCGGCTCACTGGATGTTTGAAGGAATAGTGGGATATAAGAGAAGCAAGCAGGATCTGTGTTCCTCTAGCTTTCTCTTGTGAGCTTTACTCTCATTCTTACACCTGTATAGAATCTCCCCCTTCTTCTCCCGTCCCCATGAAGGTTTTACTGCCGGTTTTGAAGCTTCTCTCTCAAGCTTCTTTCTTTTTCTGTTTGCTGTTTATGTAAACCTGAATCTTCCTATGCCTCTTCCCACCCTTCCCTCCCTCTTGTTTCCTTCTCCTGGCCATGCAGTCCATTGCTTGGCTCTCCCATGGCCCCTTTCCTCTTTAATCCTCATGGCTTCCATCATCAAAACCTCTTCACATTTAAAAATTAAAGTGTTCCTGAGTGCTTGCCAAACCTAAAAGTATCTGAGTGCCTGCTGTGTTTTGGGCACTTGGGTACATGGACCTGTGTTGGAGGAGATGGGGCAGATCTCCACCCTACCCCTTCCTTTCTTCCGGCATCAGCTTCTTTAGTCTGTTGTGGTCTTCACTTTGAACTCATTACTCTTCTTTAAACCCTTTCCCTCCATTGCCTGTGTGATACTGATTGCTTGGTTGGCGTTCAAGGCCTTCTGTGATCTTGCTCTTAGATCTATCTCTCAGTCATGTCCTGTTGCTCCCTTTTGTGCATACTCCACGTGCCAGCCAAACTGGTACATACCCCATTATTTCCTACTTCTTCCTCTGTCATCACGTAGCTTCCTGCCAGAGTGTCCTCCCCTTCGTTTTTGCCCTGTTCAAACCTTGTCCTTGTTTGTGATTCAGCTCAGATGCCCTCTCCTCCAGAAATCTCTGCTCTTCCTTGGTTAACAGTGAGTGCCTGCGGTGTGTCCTCCACTGCAGGGCAGATGCTCTCCTGTCCCTGCTCTCCATAGTGCCCCCTACTCCATTGCCTCTAACAGTGCCTATCATCTCTCTTCCCCGCGGCCCATGTCCTCCCTTTGCAGATAAGTTGTGTTTTGGTCAAGTTCCTTACAGCCGCCTTTCTGCCTAGCACAAGGATTCTGCTCGCAGTAGACTCTGAAGGGGTGCTGGCTGCAAAATTGAACACCAGTTTCTAGCCTGAGCCCCTTCATTTAATCCTCACAACAGCCCTTTGACGTAGATGCTGATATTATCCACATCTTCCAGAGGCTCAGAGACATGGAGCAGTTTGCCCAGGGTCACACCGAGCGGGCATTTGTGTGCCCAGGCTTTTTCTGCCTTTTAACTATTGCTATGTGACCTCAATGCATGGGGTAGATACAACTTAAGATAGGACGAATAAAAACCCATCAGAGGATATAGACTTCTGAAGATGCCACCAATTCAGAGAGAACTCTTTATTTTGTAAATTACTGTGCCCAGTGAGTTTCCCTGTACCCTTTACCAAGAATAGCTCACAGCCGGGGTTTCCGCCAGATGGGGGGAGATTCGGGGGCTGCACGAAGATGCACAAAGGGTGGGCAGGTACATCTGTAATAGTGTCAGCAATAACAATAAAGTTAAAAACAAAAAATGGGGAGGGGAGGAAAGGGGAGAAACAGCCAGAGAGATAAATTGATCTTTCCAGATTTTCTCATTTCAAGGTCCCTCCTCCTGTAGATGAGACTTGGGTGTTAGAGAAAAGACAGCATAATTGTCTTTCTGTCTCTGCACTTCTTTAACCTCTTCCCCTACCCCCCAGATACTTAAGGGGTAAATACTGTTAGGTACTATCCTGAGTCTTCTCAGGCCAGACATTGAATCAGTCCCGTTCAAATGCCTCTGCTCCCATAGAGTGAGACCTGTAAATACTTTAACGTTCAAAACAAAGTTAACGTGATTATAAAAGACATTTTTACTGCTGAGGTTGGGAAGAGAGAGAAGCCCTCACAGCCACACACTGTAAAAGGCTCCAAACCTTGGCTTCGGGGAACAGTTTTGTCAGCTTACACCCCCATTTATGACTCCATTTGCAGGGACTTGTTTCTAAGCCTGGATGTTTTACACCCCCAGGGCCCTGCCAGGAGTGATGTGAGGGCCATAGTTTAAACCTGCAAAGGGTGTGATTAGAGACTTTGGGTCTGGAGCAGTCCCTCTTTAGCAAGGAAAGCTGGGAGCTGGCGGGTGCCTCCCTGTGTTGAACTGTCTGGACAGCTCAAACTCTGAACTAGGAAAATGATTCAATGAACAGATATTTAGATCTTTTGTGCCTTGCATTTCATGTAACATAATAATTTAGTTCTCACTAACAAACACTTTGCAGCTAAGGATACAGACATTGGAAACAGCTGTAATTTTCCCAAAGATACCTGACTGAGGCATCTCTTAACTGTAGTCTAATGGGGAGAAGGAAGGACTGGTCAAGCTTCAGGACAGAATCCTTAGGATATATTTCCACATTCCTGTTCTTGTGCCTTATACTGTGGACAGATAGATACTCAAGAACTAGAGACCACTTTTTATAGAGGGGAGACTGGTGCTGTGGGAGCCATTTGGTTGGATCCTGACGAGTGGAGGGAGTAGAACCGTATGAATAGTTGGTATCAGTGTTAGAGGCACAAGTGGGAGGATCTGCTTGCCTGGTATGGTCATTTCCAAGCTCTGAGTTGGTGGTGGGTGGGTGGGCCTGTCTCATAACAAAAACTCAGAGCTTATGATCCAAAATCAGACAATACTCAAAACCACAGACTTAGAGAATGCTCCACCCAGAGGGGCCTCAGAGAATCTAAGGTTTCGTTTACCTTTACAGTCAGGAAACTGAAGCCAGTGTGGAAGCAACAGGCCTAAGAGAATGGTGTGTTAGCCACAGACCGCTTGCTGGTCTGAGCTGAGCCTGTAGGACGGGAAGGGGGTTTAGTAAAAGAAGAAGTTGAATGGAACAGGATCATAGGAGGGCAGGGCAGTGGATTAATGTATGTTTCTGAGAAATTAGCCAGTGTGGAGGGGAGTGGCTGGGAGGTAGTAGGGAGGGTTAGCTAGGCCAGTGGTCAGCAAACTCATTAGTCAACGGAGCCAAATATCAACAGTACCACGATTGAAATTTCTGTTGAGAGCTGAAAACCAACTTCTGCGCATGGGCCACGAAGTTTCAGTCACATTGTATGTTCGCGCCCGCATGTGGTATTTTGTGGAAGAGCCATACTCAAGGGCCAAAAAGCCACATGTGGCTCACGAACCATGGTTTGTTGACCACTGAGCTAGGCCAACTCCAGTAGGATATAGTGACCACAGTGTCTTTGGAGGTGGAAGGGAGTCCACAGTGAGGGGAAAAGCGATGCTGCAGGAGGAGAAGGAAGGATCTCATAGGATGGGGATCCTTTCCCAGCTATGAGAGAGGGTCCAGAGTCCGGACAAGGGGCTGCAGATGGTGGTCGTACGAGCTGACAGCTTGCCCTTCTCACCCTGACCCTGCAGGTGATTGCCGTGGTGATGGATGTATTCACAGACATCGACATCTTCAGAGACCTGCAGGAAATATGTCGGAAACGGGGAGTTGCTGTGTACATCCTTCTGGACCAGGCTCTGCTCTCTCAGTTTTTGGATATGTGTATGGATCTGAAAGTTCATCCTGAACAAGAAAAGGTTTGTGTTACACTGTGACTGATTTTACCAAATAAAAAATAGGACCTATCTACATGGCAGTTGGTAGTGGTATCCCCATGATCAGAAAGGGAACTGAGGCCATGAGCAAAGTGATTTATTTGTCTGAAGTCTCACAGAAAAGAAACGGCAGTCAGGATTCAAATCTTGGTCCCTCCTTCACATCATGCTGTCTCCTAACTAGGAGCCTGACTGTTCACGTCGAGAGGCTGCTGCTTTTGACCGTAGTGCTGGTAGGTTCTCATTTAATCATAATGACCACCATTTATGGTGTCCTTCACGCTGGCCTAGGCTCTTGACAAATATTATTAAATTTAATCCCCACAGAAGCCTTATCGAGTAAGTGGCAGGAAGGGGTGACACAGAGAACCCAGTGTCTTCAACAGGAAAGTTAGTGGGACTGGAGTCTGATTCCCCATCTACTATCACTGTTCCATGGTGTCTCTCATTCTCTATAAAATTAGGCTTTTCATGTCCTTTGCTCTGAGTTTGACTGTATGTAAATCTAAGGTTAGTCCTGGCTGGTTTGGATCAGTGGATAGAGCGTTGGCCTGCAGACTGAAGGGTCCCATAATCAACTCCTGTCAAGAGCACATTCCCGGGTTGTGGGCTCCATCTCCAGTAAGGGGCCTGTAGGATGCAGCCCATCCATGATTCTCTCTCATCATTGATGTTTCTCTCTCTCTCTCCTTCTCCATTCTTTTATGAAATAAATAAAAAAATATTTTTAAAAAATTTAAGGTTGTACAACTTAACTAGCTTGCTCTTGTTAGTGGAAAGAGGCAAGAAAAATAGTCATACTTATTACACCATTCTTTTTTTTTTAAACCAACTTAACCTGTGAGCTTCAGAATTTAATCAACTTAGTTCATCGCCTATTAGCACCTACTCTGAGCTATTCTAGGTACTGGAAATAAGACAGTCAGCAAAATGAACAAGAAATATGAGTTACTGCATATGGGACATACAGTTACTGCCTTGTTATTATCAAGCAATTTTGGTTTTGCAAAATTTTAGCTATTTAACTTCTCCCACAGAGTTCTTGTTGGTTATTTTCCCTAATGAGGAAACTGAGGATTGGGTTTAATTAGGTAATTTTCAACTTGTTGCTAATGCTACAAAGCAAATCATGGTGGAGGTAGGATTGTAGTATGGAGACCCAAAGAAATGAACCAGCCATGTGACCCAAAAATCAAATACAAAATGAGATCAGGTCAACCCAAGGAATATGCAGATCAGGCATGGAAAAGTACATTGTCCTGTAGCCAAATGTTGATTTATGACTGCTCACAGAGAGCCGGGTGAGGAAATTGAAGGCATCAGTGTTTAATTTCAAGGCACTCATTCTGTAATTAAGGTGGTATGTTATCAGCAGGAAAATCACAGATCAGTTCTAGCCACCACTTTGGTCAAGTGGTTGTCTGTGAATCATCTACTTGGCAGAAATCTAGGAGTACCGTCTGCCTACTCAGTTGCCCACGGCTGGTTGGTGCCTTTATGGTTGTCTTTTATGTCTGCAGGAGGAGTTGAAGGGAGGTCTGTACCTCTGGCCTCACCAATTTTCATCATGTCTTAACTCCTTCCTAGGGAAGCACCATCTTTGCTGGCTGCTTCTCACACCCGCTGTCTATGCTGGTGAACATGTGCCTCACCAAGCCGGGGCTGACTTCCTCCCCCAGCCCTGGCTCTGCAACTGGTTCAGATACTGGGCATTCTGTGTGTAGGAACTTGGTCACACATTTGTGTATAGGCCTCAAGAGTGCTTTGGCCACAATCACAGAGGCCTGTGGCATATTCTGATATGAGGGCCAGAGAGAAAGAAGCACAAAAGCAGGCCTAAATCTGCCCATAGTGGTATTTTTTATGCTTTTTATTATATGTTGATTCTTTGAAGCTCTGCTTAGGAATCATTACCTTCTCCAGGAAGCCCTCCCCTGCCAGCTCCATATGTACCTCTGTGGAAGTTACTACCTTTAAAAAAAAATTAATTTCTATTTTAAAATACTTTATGATTTACAAAGAAGTTACAAAAACAATATAAGAAATTCATGAATATTCTTTGCCCAAGTTCTCTAAATGTCAGCATCTTATAAAGCTCAGTACAAATTTGAAAATCAATAAATAAACTTGATATAATATTATTATCTGAGCTAAAGATCTCATAAATTTCACTAATCATTCCATGGAAGTCCTTTTTCTTGTCCAGGATTCAATCTAGGACTGTAGCTGGCATATAGCTGTCATGTGTCCTTTGCTTCCTCTCATCCTGAACTGTTCCTCCTTTATCTTTTCAGATCTTACCTCTTTTGAAGAACACTAGCCAGTTTTCAATAGAAATTAGGTTTCTGATGCTTCCTCATGGTTAAATTCAAATCATGCATTTTGGCAAGAATACCATTGAAGTGATGTTATGTGTTCCCATAGTTTTCTTTGGTTTGACTTTTATTTTTATTTTTGAAGTGATAGATTAATAGGAATTGCAGATAATACAGCCGTTTTCATGGATCCTTCACCCAGTTTCCCCCAATGGTTACGTCTATGTAACTTATAGTACAGCTAGAGGCCTGATGCACGAAATTTGTGCAAGAGGAGGCCTTCCTTCCCCCAGCTGCTGGCACCCAGGACCCGGGATTCCCTCGCAGCCCCAGCTTTGTCTGGAAAGACGTCTGGACTAATTAGCATATTATGCTTTTATTATTATAGATAGCAAAAGCTGGAAATGGACATGGGTTCTGTGCCATTTTGTCACATGTACATATGAATAACCACCACCACCATCAAGGTACAGAGTTATTCTGTGCCATTGAGATCTCCCTCATGCTGCACCTTTATAGTCACATCTACTCCCCTCTCGACCCTCCTCCTACCATCTTTAACCCTGGAAATCACTAACTTGTTCCCCATCTCTATAATTTTATCATTTAGGGAATGCTACATAGACGGAACCATATAGTATCTGATCTTTTGATACTGTCTTTTCCCCCTCAGCATAAAGCCCTTGAGATCCATCCAAATTGTTGTGTATTTGTTTTTTTTAATTGCTGAGTAGTATCATGTTATGGTTGTTTAACTGTTCATCCATTGAAAAGCATTAGAACAATTCCCAGTCTTTTATTGTTATGAATGGATACTATGAATACTTGCATACAGGTTTTTTTGTGTAGACATAGATTTTCACTTCTTTGGATGATTTAGTCTTGCTATAGTTTTTAATCACGCACTACTTTTCTCTCTCCTGTTTAGTCCTTGCAGGTCAGGAGCATGCCTTTGCCTTATCACAAGAAACATGCCTTATATCTGTATTATTTCAAGGGCCGGCACATAGGGGCTTTCTTTGTTTGTAGAATGAATGAGAGAGTCAAACAAAAATCTTAAACATTTAATTTGAATGTGTAAGATTTCTAAAAATATTTAACTACCAATCTGCCCCAAAGATGCAGATTGTCTTAGTATTTTGCATACCATTGTATATACATTTATGTGTGTCATTTTACAAATATAATTATGCATTGTACATGCAGTATATAACCCCAGTATGATTCCATTGTACTTTTCTGGTAAATACATACTTGTAGAAAATCTGACATTGCTGATTAAGCCACATGTGATATGAATGTTTGCTCCCTCAAGTTCTGTATTAGAAAAGGCTCATTGTATGTTCTGTAGATCCGTTGTTGTGTGGGGGTGAGGATGGTCTGTTATTTACTGGTTAGTCTATTAGACAGAAGAAGTAGGAGAAATATCAATTTAGCTTCTTTAAATTTTTGTTAAGATATTACCTATTACTAGTATGTTTCCTGTGATAACTTAATCCCCCATGTTTTATTTAAAAAATTATTTCTTAGTTTCTATTTTTAGTATCATCAAAAAGTGAGTCTTCTTTTAGAGCACATGTACACATGAACTAAGAATCTCAAAAATAAATATAAGATATGGGCATATGAGAAGCTGGACTAAATGTGAAGCAACATTACTTGAGCTCCTGAATGGTGACTGTGAACCATTCATTGGCCAATAAATTTGTCTGTTTGGGAATTCTAAGCTAAGCCCTCATGTCTTGTCTTAATCATTTGTTCACTAGATTGTTCATTTTTTTTCCCCACACACTCCTGCCAACAGCTGATGACAGTTCGGACTATTACAGGAAATATCTACTATGCAAGGTCAGGTACTAAAATTGTTGGGAAGGTTCATGAAAAGTTCACATTGATTGATGGCATTCGAGTGGCTACAGGCTCCTACAGGTAAGTTTCTCACCTGTCCATGCTTATTAATCTAAATCTTTTAGGAGAAGCATGCTATGTAAAGGCAAAAGCTTCTCACCATCCCACCCCCTAACGCCAGGCTTTCTGGCCAGGCATTCTAAGATGTGTGCATCTGTGTGTGAGTAGGTTAATCAATACTTCCTCCTACAGAAGGTAGGGTCACCTCCCCTATACCCAGTGGTCCACAGAACTGAAGTGCAGAGGTCAAAATTTGTCTGGAGACCGCATGGTGAGCAAGTCCTAGATTCAAGCTGCAGCTAGGCCCACAGTGGATGAATTAGGAATAACAGTGACAGGACCAGTCTTAAGTCTGGTTCCTGGGTACTTTGAACGCCTTGTCCCTGCTCACTTGGTGGTAAGGGCAGTCTCAGCCATGGGCATCAGAGTAGAGGGCAGAGCTGAAGTTGTCAGCGTACACATAACTCTTGCACTTTGCTTCAAGCCTTGTAATCTAGTGCTTTAGAAAGTACTGATCCATCTTCTGACTCCACTTTTGAAGTCTCACATTGGCAACGGCATCTTAAGGGAGAATGCAGAGAAGTTGAATAGAGGGTGGAGGTAATGAGTGGTTAACACTAATCTCCAGAAGTTGAGACATGTCATTTTTTCTCCTGCGGCTTCGATGTTTGGCCAGCTCTGCATTTGATTGTCTGATGGGGTGGGGTGCATGAGGTGTGTCTGTAGAGTTTAAAAATGAAAAACTCATTTTTAAAGAAACACACATTCTTGAGTGATAATAATGTGTCAGCCCTGGGTAAAGGTGGGCATGGAAAGATTTGTGGACGATGCAGACAGTGAGATGAAGAAAGCCTTGATGTTTTCTTCTCAAACAGTACCTTCAATGCTGGGGGGAAATTCACACTTTTCCTTGAAACTTCCTTTCATAAGAAATCTTATTTTATTTATTTTTTAATATATTTTATTGATTTTTACAGAGAGGAAGGGAGAGGGAGAGAGAGTTAGAAACATTGATCAGCTGCTTCCTGCATACCTCCTACTGGAAATGTGTACATGCCCTTGACCAGAATCGAACCTGGGACCCTTCAGTCCGCAGGCAGACGCTCTATCCACTGAGCCAAACTGGTTAGGGCCATAAGAAATTTTAAATAACTGGAGAAATCTAGATTTTTCACCTTAAGTAAGATTGATCTGTATTAGCCAAACTTAGCTTAACTGGCTTTGGCTATTCTAAACTATAAAAACCACCCTCTACAAATGCAGTATACTACCATTGAGGATGAAGATGATGAAAGCTTTCATTTGTTGTGGACATTTTTATAATCCTGATAGTAGACAGGTGTCTTATTTATGTGATCCCATCGAGGGTTTTCAAAAGACTCTTCTCTCTCAGTGGGGTGATTGCAGGTGCAGAAAGCTAACTCAAACTATGCAGATGGAGTTTTTTTGACTCTTGTGACTTAGAAGTGTCAAAAGGCTTTCAGCTCTTCTTGACCTAGAGGCCATCCATTTATCTGAACACTGTCTTCTGGTTCTGCTTTTCTCCAGTTGGTCTTTATTCTCAGTCAGTTCTTCATTTGAAGGCATAGATCCAGGCTTCATAGCTTGTGGCCTTTCATAGTTGTCTCCCAAAGAGAGACTTTATTTCTCTCAGCACTGCTTTAATCCTTGAAAAATTAGTTGGCCTGAAGTGGGTCACATGCCCACCCTGGGTACCTACCTCCAAGGGGATAGGATAGTCTGGCCATCCTGGTAATATGCTCTTGTAATTGGAGAGGTGCATAAATGAAGACCTTCTTAGCTAGGGTGGGCGTGGGTTCTGTCACCAGCGGAAGAAGAAGGGATGCTGGACAGTCAGGAGCACGTGGCCTACTCATCTCTGAATGCGCTTCCAGCAGCAGCGTCATGGTTAGAATAACAGCGCGGCACTGGCCATATTTAAGGACTGGGCTTGGTCTAGGGTCCCCCACAGTTTCCTGCTGTGAACCCACTAGCTGTTTCCTCACTTTGAAAATGGCACTGGCCGAATATTTTCAAAATCCTTTCTAGTTTTTAAAAACTGAGGCTGAAGATGTGTAGGTTTTTGTGTGTTAGTTAAACAGTTGGTCTTTCAACTTTTATGTTAACCTATATATATCATATGCCTATGTTAAGGCTGAATTTACACTACATGATTTACACTACACGATAGGTATGCTGTTATCACAGTTATGAATCGTATGTAGCAGGAGACGTGGGCTTTTTACTCAGATTGACATAAGAAAAGACTAAAAGTTGCTTATTCTTACCAGCGTCTGTTTGTTTTTAATCCTCAAGCTTTACATGGACAGATGGCAAATTAAATAGCAGTAATTTGGTCATTCTGTCCGGCCAAGTGGTTGAACACTTTGATCTGGAGTTCCGAATCCTGTATGCGCAATCGAAGCCCATCAGCTCCAAGCTCCTGTCCAGCTTCCAGAGCAACGGCAAGTTTGACCATCTAGCTGACCGGAAACCACTGCCTAAGGAGCTCACCTTGGGCAATCTGCTGCGGCAGCGGCTGGCCAGGCTCTCAAGCACCCCCAAGAAGGCCGAGCTGTTGTGTGGGGCACCCACCAAGGACAGGGCAGAGGCCAGGCGCCACGACTCTGAGTCTTCCACCATCAGCGAGGAAGACTACTTGAACAGCCACAAGGAAGAACCAGAAGGTGGGAAGGTGGCTGATGCCGCCACTCAGACAGAGCCAGGAGAGGAGATGCCGGGGGTGAGCGTGAGTGACTCGGGAACACAAACCAGCACTGCCATAACCAGTGCTGGGACCCAAACCACAGTTGCCACCAGGGCAGCGAGCTCCCAAACCATGGTTCGGTTCATGTCGGCCACCACCCAGACTGATGTGGACGAGAATGCTGTCTTTTCTCAGGGAGCCCAGTCTAAGGAAGGGTCGCCTGTATCAAAGATGTCTGTCTCGAGATCTTCCAGTTTGAATTCGTACTCCTCGCTGTCTTCCCAAGGCTCTGTGGCAAGCTCCATCGGCTCCCAGACTTCCATCAGAACCACTGAGCTCATCCTTCCCGGACATTCACAGTTCTGGGGCGCCCCCCACTTTGACTCATTTAGAAACTTGAATAAAGAGCGGCAGCTTCACTGTTCTGCCGTCAGGTCCCGGCTCCACCACATGCTGGCCATGTTGTCAGGGAGAACGATTGTTACTGAGAACTATATTGGCTTTAATCCTGGCAATTTTACCAGAGCACCAGTTAATTTACTGGCTGTTCGAGATATTACAGTCTATCCCTCCTATCAGTGACTGCTCGGTGTTCAGAGCTCCCTGGGTTCCTTCAGGCTTGCAATGGACATCCTCAGAGCATCCTGCTCTGCAGATGTCTCCTGTCCCTAGTAGTTTTTCTTTGGCCTGACTTTCAGTCACCCTGTCTTTCTTTGAAGTCTATAAACTGCACACTATTTTACATGCTTTAATTTTGTTTTTGTCATATATAAACTATTGGTTTTATTATTTAAACACTATGGGTATGAAAAAAAATTAACACTATGGGTACGGTTTCTTTGCACATTTTTAACATTGATATCTTTTAAAGAGGTAAATTCTGGTAAGAGATAAAATATGTTTTGCATTTTCCTGTATTTGTGTGTTCTTCTATTTTAGAGCTTTGAATCACTAGTTTTTATGGTCAAAATCCTGTGTAGAATAAATGGTTTCTTAAATTGTCTCTTCTTTAGGATATCTGTGTTCTTAGTATTAACTAAATATAAACAACTTTTATTTGCTGATTGCTTGAGTACTTTTTTTTTTTTCTTTCAGGCATTTTTCTCTTTAACTCTGGGAGTATGTCACAAGTAATGCACCTAATAGCTATTTTTTGTGGAGGAAAAGTACATGATCCAAATTGTAAAGGAAAATATTCACTTAAAAGTTAGAAGACATAAAAAAGCAAGCATCAGGGTCACCCCTTCCTTAGCATTATGAATATTGATGTTACTCTCCCTATACTTTGAATGAGGACACTTGTCAGAAATCGCAGGTCTTTTTATGTGACTCTAGCTGTCTCTTTTCAAAGAAAAAGCTAGAGATATTTAGACAGTGACCTTGGTTCTCTGCTTCTCTGCCAAAGAAGGCCTTAGTTGCATTTTTGGATTCATCCCTGATATAAACTCTAGTGGCCCCATGGGTTTAATTTCATCAGATGGGTGTATTGACAATGATTTAGCAATCTAATATCCTGGAGTAGGGGCAAAGAAGACACTGATAATTATCCCAGATTCCTAGTTCATTGGCAGGCAATGCAACTGGTTTCTACACCCTGTTAATCAGGGTTAGTCTGATTGCGGAATCCTGTTTTTGTGTAGTCTCATTTGCAAGGACAGACTAAAGGAAGAGGGTTAAATGATGGCTTCCCCTGTCTGATCTGGCTAGAGCAAAAGAGGTCTTAATAGGAGAGGGTGTTGTCCGCCATGTAGACATTTGCTGATGCACCTAGATCATGAGTACACCTGCAGTGCTTTGTTTGTTTCTTTGTTTGGTTTTACTGGAAGCATTTATTATGACAAGAAGTGAGAGCTACACAACAATAGGTTTGCCCAAGGTTAGAACTGTGGCAGGAGGTCCCGGGGCAAGGGCCTCCCTGCCCACCACAGGCTCATCTCTTGCCTGGAGGAGACCTTTAGCACTGGTTGGTTTGGACAGAGGACAGGTGGAAGTTTATCAGATCCAGACTGTCAGAAGGGTCCAGGTTATTAAAGTCCTCATCCCATTCCCATTCTTGTTCTGGTTCCCGTTCCTATTCTCATCTTTGCTCCTGCCCTTGCCCCTGCCCCTGCATGGTCTTGGGCTGAGTTGTGAAGGCCATTGGGTTCCTGGTGGTCTTAGGGCTGCTGCTGCTGGTGACACAGGGCCCATACCAGCCTGCCCAGAACTGGGTGTCTTTGCCCCCATACTGGAAGAGGATGTGGTGGACGCCTGGAGGGTAATCTGAGAAGGTGTGAGAGACCTCTGTCCACTAAGCATCGTTCCACTGCTGGATGGTCACAGGTGGGGGCTCGGAGGAGGCCAAGAGGATGTAGTTGGCTGAGACCAGCTGTACTCAGATGTTGTAGGTGCAGCCACAGTCTGCTTTGGGGGAGAACCAGTCCTTCACCACAATGTCAGGTTGGATTATGTCCATTAGTTCCTCCCAGTACCCCTCAGCTTTGAGGTCTACCATCTGGGACTTGAGGCATAATCCAAAGAATGTGACGAAATACTTCCTGACTTTGGAATCAGAAAATCTTGCCCATGACCTCCAGGTAAGCTCTTCATCTTCCAATGGTCTCCCCATTATAGTCGATTTGCCAGGATCTCATACCCTTTTTCAGCACATGGGTTGTGTAGGAGGTTCCTGCGGAAGTTGCACAAAAAGTAAAAAATGTTCCAGTCAGACACAGGCTCATCACAGTCCTCAGTGATGAAGCCCTCACGCAGACTCCTGCGTTTCCAGAGGGTCACAAGGTCATGAGGTCACACCAGAGGCTGCAGACAGGGCAGCAGTCCAATACCAGCTGACGAGCAGGCACGTATGTGAATGTTCTCAGGCAGTTAATTGATGCTGACCAGGGCCATAGCTGGGCTGGGTGCACACACAGGCCTCTGTGTGTATGTGTGTGGTGGAGGGGTGGGGGGCAACAATGGTGGTTATGAGCCCTGTCCGAGGAGGTGGATTCCTCAGATCTTTCAGGATCCTGGGCGGCCTGGGCCTCCTAATCCTGCTTCTGTCACAGCTGTCATCCCCCTGTCTGTCCTGCTGGCCATGACCTGAGCACCGGGTGGGACCTGAGCGTCAGCCTCTTTGTTTGTTTTTAATACTGTACGTTTTTATTGGGTTTTTAGAGAGAGGAAGAGGGGAGAGAGAGAAGCATTTATCTCCTGCCTCTACATGAAAAACCCAAGGGTAGGGAATGCAAACTGGAGTCAGGAATGAGGGTTTAGGTGTGTGCCTCAGTGACCAACACACTTACTTTGAGTAGGAAGCTTCTCAGTGGCCAGGGCAGAAAGAGAACCCTGGTTGGATCTACCATTCATAATATCTCTCCTTTCTAAGATTAAAATCCAGGTATAGGAAGAACAATCCTCAGTACTAACATCGGGTAAGAATTTCTCACAAGTGTCCTCTTATCAAAATGATAGTTAAGCATTCTGATAATAAGCACAAGGACAGATCTTCTGGGTGTGCTCCAACACTAATCTCCCCAAGGGCAGTTGTCCACACCTAGAAATTAGATGTATTCAGACGAAGTGAGCATGGAACCTGTGCCTTATGTTGAATATGTTCAGATGAGCAATATTAACATTATTACATTATTCAGTAGGCTCACCGGTGCCACCTGGAAATATGCCCCCGTTTGCCTGGCAGAATTGCAGTTCATTCCTGTGAACACCCCATTTCGTTTTCAAGTGTCCCCGATTGAATAATAAAACATAGAGTCATTCTATCTAGAAAGCTCCAGACCTACCTCAGGAGGCCCGTCCCAGCTCATCCAACTCCGTAGATATGCATGTTCCTCAGGCCAATGTGATAGTCTCCCCAATGGCTGAGTCTCCTCCCTTAGTGGATTTCTGGACCCGAATCCTTGGAGCTAAGTAAACACTTATGCTACTACATGTGTGAACATGATTCTTGTGTGCAAGCCAACAAATCAGGCAGGTTTACATATGTTACAAGTTTCAGAGGGCTGTACCTTAGACTCAGTGGAAAATTCCAGTATAGTACAATTCTGTAAAAGCAATTCTACATAGGACAACCTCTTTTCAGGCTGGGAGGTAGCTCTCTCTGATGTGGCTTGATGAAGTAGACTCAAGGGGAAATTAGAATTTTTCTTAGGAAGCCAAGAGTTCTAGCACATGACTACATAGGTGGTGTTATGGAAAATTTTTTTTTTTAAATTCATTCACTCATTTGCCTTCTCATCCTCTCACCCTCAAATTTCTCTCTGAGGAAGCATTCTGTTCCCAACTGTTAGTGCATATGGTTCTGGTGAAGCTGACCACACCTGACTTGGGGTAGAATGAGTGACCTAGATGTAGGCCAGCACATCATATTTATTGACTTTTGTAACTGAATCAAGGATGGATACATGACCAGGTACTTTTGGAAAGAAGCTTGATGCTGAGAGGATGTGGTGGCTAACCTGACATGACCATCTAGTTATCACATGACACCTGGGTCAGTGAAGAGAGAATGATATGATCACAAATGCAGCTGTGTCTCAAGTCAGAACTACTCTTGGACTTAATATGAGCCATTTTTGCTTAAGTGAGAATAACACTTGTTACATAAAAGCCTTAAATGGTACCGAGACGAAAAGTGCTAAATCTGCCTCCTAAACATGACCAAGATGGTTGGACAGGATATAGTTCAAGGCAGAAAATACTAGTTACCATAGGCACAGAAAAACTTATGTACCATGAAACATGATTTTGAGGAGCATCTTTCTAGAAAACCTGTTATTCAGAAGTTGCAAAATGTAACCCTTATGTAACAAAATGATCAAACCTTCATGGAATTGTTGGCAATGAACTAAATAGATTCTGATTGCCATCTCAAGACGTGAAGGTTTTCATTTTAGAGTTGTGAGTTTAGGCCATTCTTTCTGAAAATAGTTGCTTAGGAAGGATAAGATAGTCTACTGAGACCATTCCTAGTTTTTGACAGGAAATTAAACCATCAACATCATGTTATTTCTTAGGTGTTTTCTCCAATAGACATTGTAAGCATGAAGGGCAGTTGGGCTTTGAGAATTTTCTGGGACAGACAGATTAATTCACACCCAGGAGAGATAAGCTCTAATGGCTTTAAATGGTCCATGTGGTTGAAAAAACACTGGCCTGGAAATTAGAAAACCTGAGTTCTAGTTTCAGTTCTGGTGCAAAATTAACTCATGGATTCTGACCAAGTCCTTTTAACCTCCATGAGCCTCAGTTTTGTTTTGTATAAAACAGAGTATTTAGATTTTTTAAAAAAAATTAGAAGATTTTATTTGAGCCAACCTGATGACATGCTGGGGAATAAGATCACAAATGCTGCCCTAGTTAGATGTTGACTAAAGTCTCTTCTGGTTTTCAGTCTCTTTATAAATAAGACTTCTTTTTAGAAACCATATGAGTAATTTGTAAAATACAGAAATAATAAAAGTGGCATGTATTGTATTTCCCTTGTGTTCATATATAAACTCTATTTCCTGTACTTAGTCCTTTAGTAAAATAAGACAAAAATAAAACAAGGAAGGATCATTATTATGAAGAACTAAAAATAAGTATAATGAATGATGCTCTCATATACATTACTCAATAGGCACTTTGTTCCTGGGCTATGAATGTGACATGGTCCTTGTCCTCAAGAAGCTTGCAGTGTAATACTTGGATATTAACAATAGTTCAAATAATTAACTTCACCACAAAAGTGAGCATGCAGGTCTGAGCCGACAGAGGGGGGATACTGAAGCCAGATAGTGAGTTTAGAGAAGTCTTCTTAGAGCTGACCATTATGAGGATATTTTAAAGGCTGTATGGAGAAATCTAGGCAGAGGGATTATCAGGTATTGTATCCTATTTTTATTATTATGGAAATAAGATATTTGGAAAATGAATGTATGCATGTAAATTTAGTTGTTTTTTTTTTCCCTCCTGGTGAATTTGCTCTATTTGAGTTAAGGAGAGCTAACATTGATTGAACTTGGACACATGCTAGGTCTTACACGGTTAGGTACTTTACATGTTATCTCATTTAATATAACCTTTTCAAATATGACAGGTAGGTACTAGGAAATGGCAAAGTTAGGATTCCAATCATGTCTACATGTCTCCAACCCTTGATCTTTCCATGACTATGTAATTTCTCTGAAAGAGTGCAGAATTTTCTTCACAGCTCTAAAAATGCGTATGATCTGAAGCCTCACACTTCCTTTCAACTAGTTGCCTACCCATAAAATAGTTCCTGTACTTGAACTTATTAGCTCTTGTTACGTCTCCTTTGGATTAGAGAACTCTTTCTCAAGCTTGTTGTTTCAAAAGAATTATCTGTGGGGCTTCTTAAAACGCAGGCTTCCAAGCCTCTGCCCCTGAAGATTCTGACTCAAGAGTGGATTGGGGACTAATATCTGTATTTTAAAAAAAATATTTATTGATGTTAGAGAGGAAGGGAGAAGGAGAGAGAGGAAGGGAGAAGGAGAGAGAGGAAGGGAGAAGGAGAAACATCCATGATGAGAATCATTGATCAGCTGCCTCCTACACGCCCCCCACTGGAGACCAAGCCCACAACCCAGGCATGTGCCCTTGACTATAATAGAATCGACCCTGAGACCCTTCAGTCTTCAGGCTGACGCTCCATCCATTGAACCAAGCTGGCCAGGGCTAATATCTGTTTTAATAAACATGAAGCATATGAGCAGTCAAATTGTAGGAGACACTGGGCTAGTGTCTACCCAGCCCAACTATTCTACCCATTTCTAACCCTCTTATTCCAAACCATTTTTATCCCTGTTTTTCAGCATTCCTCTCAAGGCTCCTGAAGACCTCCTTCCATGCTATTTCCCATTGTTTTGTTGACCGATAGAAACAAACACTCCTGTTTACCAAAGCATGTATTTCCTATTCACGTTTGCCTCCACGGAACAAAAGCTCCACGAGGGTAGGGAATTAAAAAAAACTGCAGTATCCGGGGCGCCCAGTAAAAATGAACTGAACCAGCACACACACAACGTAGTTACTATCCTTCGACCTGAAAATACGGAGGAGAGTGAAAGGGAAATGGCAAATACTGAGACCTCATCAGTACTGAGCAGTTAACTGCCCTGTCTCCGTGCCCACTGCGTGCCAGGGGTCCTTTCCCAAAGCTCGCCCTCGGAGGCAACCGGCGGCCACCCGGGCCACGCCGTGCCCCTCACCCGGGCACTTGGCACAGGGACCCGCAAAGCTGCACCGAGCAGAGAAGCGCATCGCAGATCACGTGGGCCCGGGGGCGGGGCCAGGATGCTCGCGGGGGCGTGTCCAGCCTCAGGTCACGTGGTACAGAGGGGCGGTCGCCGCGGGGGGCGTGGCCGTACCACCGCGTGAGCCGGGCCTCGCGGGCCACGCCCCCGGCTCGGCCGGCGCGCGGCTGAAGGGGCGGAGGGGCGGAGCCTCCCCGTCACCTTTCACCCCAGCATGGCTGCGCCCGCGGGGCCGGTGAAGTTCTGGCGGCCGGGTAAGGCTCTGGGCGGGATGCTGGGCAGGGGCGGCGTCCTGATGTCGGTTGTGGCCCCGCGGCCGGTGTCCTGGGGCCTGCGGACCCGCTTGCGGGCCTGGCCCCGCGGGCTGGCCAGCGCTGGTCGGCTCTGCGGGCTCCGGCGCCCACAGGGGTCCTGAGTAACGGGGTTCGGGGTCCGCTCCCCGCCTGGGCAGACATTCCCTGCGACCTTGTTGGAGTCAGTCTCCTCCGGGCCTCGCTGACCTCCCTCCTGATGCCTGTCTTCTTGCCCAACCCGCGGGATGGGGAAACGCCAAGCGCCCACGCGTGCCCTGTTCCTGCCCCGGGGCTCCTGTTCCTGCCCCGGGGCTCCTGTTCCTGCCGCGGGGTTCCTGTTCCTGCCCCGGGGGCGCCTGTTCCTGCCCCGGGGCTCCTGTTCCTGCCGCGGGGCTCCTGTTCCTGCCCCGGGGCTCCTGTTCCTGCCCCGGGGCTCCTGTTCCTGCCCCGGGGCTGCTCTGGCCGGACAGGCGGTGCCGCCCAGGGCTCTGGAGCCCAGGTGAGGGAGCCAGGCTGCCTGTGTTCGAATTTTCCGCTCTGCCCCTCGCAGCCCAGTGCCTTTGATCGGAGCCTCAGCTCCTACCTGTGAAACAGGCAGAGTAATAGCATCTGGCGGGCTTGAATGACGAGCACCACGCGTGGTCTGGCAGAGAGGAAGTGCTCATGGAAAGGGAAAAGTGCCTTACTTTGTTTTGGGGTCGTTCTTGTCCCACTCCGAGTGTCTGCCAGACAGGGAACTCTTTCATGTTGGCTGCCACGCACTTCCCTTCTTGCAGGCTACCACGAAGCTCAGCCCCAAAATGCTCTGCTTGGGTTGTTTTAATTTTCCCCATCAGGATTTTACGGGATGTATACATGCGAGACCCCGCTAGATGCATTACTTCCTCCCCTTCCGTCAGTTTCTAGTGAAAATCAGGGTTCGTTTTCCCACCGCTTGCACCTCTGCAGGTCTGGATGTGCGCAAAGTATGTTGCAGCGGAAATGAAATGAGACGGAGAAGGTACTACAAGGAAAGCTTTTAAAGGGCATTTTAGAGTGGATCCCTGAAATTTTGACCAGGCATATAAGTGATGTGGGAGATAAACCCCCTAATTCTTTTTTAAAAATCTGTAGTTTGTCACTTAACAACAGTTTTATATTTCAGCATTTCAAGTCATCAGCCAGTTATCTATCCTGAGTCTTATTTGCGGCCAAAACTAAGCTCCCATTAAGTAATGAGATACCCTCTATTCATATGGAGGAGGGAAAAAGAGAAATGGTAAAGCTGAGACATAATCAGTATTTAATAATAGGTCAAAGTGTTAAGTATAATAAAGGCCTGAATGAACTAATGAAAATCAGACCAGTATATTGTTTTAGTTAAAGAACATGGGATTGATTACTCTTAAGAGTTTTATTTCATTATTTAGTTTATTCATTGAGAATATACTTATTGAACACCGATATACTTATTGTCCAGGATTCATCTGGGAGACCAGGGCTCTGCTTTGCTCTCAAGGTTTATTCTCTCAATTATACTATGAAGTTGGGTACCCTTTAGAAGAGATTTTAAAAGGAGGTACAAATAGGTGGTGGTAAGGAAAATGGGTGCTTGAGTCAAGCAGTACAGCCCATCCTTGACTACCATTTAGTAACTTGGGGACTTGGCAAAGTCATTTAAGTGCTGAAAGTTTCAGTTACCCTATCTGTAAGTTGGGCATTGAAGATTAAATGAGAGTACATGTAAAGCTGTTAGCACTGGACACATATTAACCATTATAATTATACTAGAGGAAAGGTTCATGAAATTCATACACAGGGCAGGGGGCCTTTAGCCTGGGCTGCACTCTCTTCAATCCAGGACCACTGGATTCTAACTGTTTCACCTGTCTGCCTACTTGATCACCCCTAACTGCCTCTGCCTGCTCGCCTGATCGCCCCTAACCACCTCTGCCTGCTTGTCTGTTATCCTCTAACTGCTCCCCTGCCTTCCTGATTGCCCCTAACTGCTCTCCCCTGCCAGCCCGATTGCCCCTAGCTCTCCTCTGCCAGCCTGATTGCCCCTAACGGTCTCTGCCTCAGCCCCCGCCACCGTGGCTTTGTCTGGAAGGACGTCTGGAAGATGTCCAGTCTATCCAGTCTAATTAGCATATTACCCTTTTAGTATAGATGGAAGTATAGAGGAGAGGGAAAGATTGAATATGGGGATGAGAAATATTTTTGAGATGGACACTGAAGCACAAATAAGGTTTTATTCCATGGAGAGGTAGGAGAATGGAGCTTTAGGCAAAGGGTGCATCATGAACAAAGGCAAAGTGGGATGCATGCCTCATCTATGACCCAAAAAACCCCAAATAATTGAGTAGGGTGATAGTGTTATATGGCAGGGTAAATAGGGTGAGGCAAAAGTAGCTTTACAGTGGTTCATATGGAAAGTAATACAATGATAAGTAACATAAGAATAAACTCTGTTTCCCATACTTACAACTGTAAACCTTTTCCTCCACCCTGAATTTTGGGGTATAGCAGAAGATGAAGCTAGAACGACAGGGGCCTCACTGTGAGAGCTCTCATGCAAGTTAAAGAATTTGGATTTCATTGCTTTTAAGCAAGGGATGACAAGATCAGGTTTATTTTAAATATGTTTTTTATTGATTTCAGAGATGAAAGGAGAGGGAGAGAGAGATAAAAATATCAATGATGAGAGCGAATCATTGATCAGCTGCCTCCTGCACGTCCTGCACTGACGATGGAGCCCACAACCTGGATATGTGCTCTGACTGGGAATTGAGCGGTGATCTCCCAGTGTTTCCCAATCTTTTGACATATGTGTACCCCTTCGATAATTTTTGTAACGCTGAGTAACCCCCATACTCAAGAGAACGTAGAATTAGGCGCAGCTAAGCACCGTGCAGTGCATATCCCCACCAAACTCTTCCCGTACCCCTGGGGGTATGCGTACCACACTTTGGGAAACACTGTAACCTAGTCCATAGCTCAACCACTGAGCTATTCCTTCTGGGTGATCAGGCTTATTTTAGAAATATAACTTTGGCAGTGTTGTGCAGAATGGTTGGGGGTGGAAATTAGAGTCAGGGGCACCCTTAAGAGAAGGTACTACTAAAATTGAGGAAGAATATTAAAAGCCTTAATTTTGGCATGGGAGCAGAGAGGAGGAACCTTATTGGAGAGACTTTTAGAGGCAGTTGGAGGGCATGGTAAAGTCAGTAATGACTCATTTCTGGATTAGGTGATCAGGTAAGTGGTTCTCAAATTTTGCAGTGTAGTTGAATCACTTGAGAAGCTTTTAAATATTTTGCTGTTCTGTCATACTTGGCAATAAATATTTTGCTGTTCTGTCATATGGCAATAAATCAGAAGTCAGGAGGGTTAGGAACCAAGCATCAGTATTTTTTAAAGATTTCTCCACTGATTTCAGCAGTACAACTTTTTATTCTATTTCTAGTTCACTATTACAGAATACTAGTATTGATCCACTACATTAATCTCATAACGCACTAATGGATCACCATTCAAAATGAAAAACCTTGTGAGAGGGAATGTTGGATTGGTAGGTGGAGGGGAGTGCTATTTTCATCCTTATTTACAAGTGGGAAAATGAAGGCATTTGTGGTTTGCAAGAATTACAAACTTGTTACTCACATAAGCATAGAGAATTTTCCCAAGGGAAAAACATCCATAGGCAACCAGAATGGGCCGTGGGATGTACATACGGGGGAAGCAGTCCTGGTTTGGCTGAATGAAGTCTTTTATAAGGAGCAGACATGCTTGGTATTGATTGACAACAGCTGTTCTTGTAAAAGATCTCATAACAGAATATTATGCTGAGGCGGACCAGGAGAGGTGAGGTAGTGAAGGAGACACCTCGGAGATTAAACCTTGGTGTGGAAAGAAGGAAGAGACATTTCAGGAACAATGCTAATATGTTCTAGACGTTTAGGTTTAAAGTGTGTTTTGAAAAGGAGGGAATCCAGAACATAAACAGAGCTGATGAGGATAAGGTATTATTAGCAATGGGTTTTCTTGGGTGAAGGTTTCCAGAAATTATTAAGATGTAGTGATGACAATATTATCATGTATAACAAGAGAAAAAAGAACACCTTTTTTGAGCCTAGACTTTGTTCCAGTTCCTATCTTATCTTTTAACTCGTTGAAAAAAGGTCAATATTTTGGCAAAAACAACACAGCAATGTTGGGTTGCAGCCTGTTGGGGAGCTTCTTAGGTGAAATCTGACACTGGCCCCATAGCTGAGGCAGGGAGAGACCAAAGAAGGCAAGCATTGGTAGATGGCAGGTTGATAAACAAGGGGATTTACATATGAGTCCAGGTTTGGCTGCATGACGTCTTTTGTAAGAAGGAGACATGCTTGATATTAACTGACAACAGCTTTGAATTTGGTACTTTCACATATCATCACAGATTCTGAGTTCAGAATACCTGCGAGATAATAGTTTTGGGTAATTATCCCAAAAGAAGGCTGTGCAGCAAGTGTTTGGACTCCTAGGGAGGGTTTTTATTGATTCACAAAGGTACCATGTCCTGGGGTTGAATAGCTCTAACTTTTAGAAATATCTTCCACTGTCTTCCTTATGTTGAATTGAATTCTGAGCCCTGTGTCATTTACTTATTATTCTTACTCCTGTCCTCGGGCCACACAAATAAATGGTCATGAGAAGTTATAGAAGAAAAAAAAAGGTAGGGCAGTGATCGTGAAAGTCTCCTCCTAAGGCAGTTAGTTTTCTTTTCAGGCTGAAAATCCATGAACATTTTTTCATGATGGTATATAGCTTCCCTCTTCTTCACCATCCCGAGGACCAGGTTGTCATTATTCTTACTAAGAAGCTGTTGTGTAGTATGTGGTTTCTTAAAATAGCACTTCCCATCCAACCTTTTCAGTTCTGTGATTCAAATGGAATCTACCATTTATTGCATCACACTCCACTGATCTTGGTTGTTTGGATTGGGCTGGGCATTGTACCTACGCTGGGAGAAAAAGAGCCTCCCCTATCATGCATGCACCGTGTTCTATCAGGAAGAATGGAAGAAGCAAGTAGGATGCACGAGGGTAGGGCCTGCCTCCCCAGTGTTCCTCCAGTATCTCTTGCACTTCATCCCTGTTGGGTGAGTGAATGAATGATTGGTGAAGCACCCATGAGCCTGAGCTCTGGCACTGTCAGCCTTGATTTTAGCTCCTAAAGAGGAGCCACCCTAAGAGATGAGAGGACTTGTTGAGAGGTGCAGAGATGAGAGGAGGAGGAAGCCCAGGCAGCGTTTGAGTCCCTGGTTCCTGTCATCTCTGAACCTTGCTGCCGTCTTATAGTAAAATGACTCATCCTTTGCCTCAGCTAATTCCCATTGGGTTTCTGTCACTTTTATTAAGTGCTGGGTAATAATACGGACATGGAGGCCTGAATTAAAAGCATTGTCTTCTGTAATATACAGTTGTGTGTGGCCATTTTGGAGCCCACTGGGATTGTATCTCCTTTGTTTTTAGAATGAAGCTTTGTATTTTCATAGGTACTTTTTGAGATGCTTTCCTGAAATTAAAGTTTAATATCACTTAGTAGTTTGAGATCAAATGCATTGCTTCTGTTGCATACTTAGTCTTTGAATTTATAACTTTTGCACATTTTTCTGTTCACTGTATCAGGGAATCTGAAAAATTTTTTCTGTTACAGGTACAGAGGGACCGGGAGTCAGCATCTCTGAAGAGAGACAAAGTTTAGCTGAAAACTCCGCAACCACGGTTGTTTACAATCCCTATGCTGCCCTTTCCATAGAGCAGCAGAGGCAGAAGCTGCCAGTGTTCAAGGTACATTGAATAAGCATGTTCAGTCTGCAGACCTGAAGCTGTCTGCAAGAACTTTATACTTGGCACTGATGTGCATAGTGTCCTCTTACTCTTAATGACTCTTTAGAACACAAAGAACTCAGAGACACCCTTCTCTGAAGAGATTTATCTTTTCAAAATATGTGTGTTAGTTAACCTTATAAATCTGGCAAGTCCTTAAGATTATTTTTCAGTTAGATCTTTCATATTAAAAACTGAAAGAAACGGAATGATTATTTTCCCTCCTCTTTGCTTTAAAATTTTTTTATTTTTATTGACTTTAGAGAAGAAGGGATAGGGATAGAGAGAGAGAAACATCAATGATGAGAAAGAATCTTTGACTGGCTGCCTCCTGTATGCCCCCTACTGGCGGCAGGAGGTAGGGTGGAGGGGAAACAAGCTCATAACCCCTGCATGTGCCCTTCAGTCTGGAATCGAACCTGGGACCCTTCAGTCTGCAGATTGATGCTCTATCCACTGAGCCAAACTAGCTAGGTCTTTACTCTTTGCTTTCAATTATGGATAAATTCAAACATACAGAAAAATAGAGAAAAATAGCACAGTGAACTTATATGATCCAACTTCAACAGATTACCAACATATAGTCAATTTTGGCTTTCTTTTTAAAGGCTATTTCTTTAAACACGATTAACTAGGAATATGAAGTGGTTTCTGTTTAAGAGGTTAACTCCCACTGAGACAGTGACAGAATTTTGGTGTGTTTATTGTACACCCTGTGCACATTCAGAAAGTTGATTTCATTAGTATCTTGTCATCTCACAAGAGACCACAGTGTAAATTAAAATTCAGAATAAGACTGTTTATAGTGAGTCATAGTTCTTCAGTACAGATGGGCCCAGTCCATGGACACACTTTCTCCCTGTTGCCAAGTCCATGTGGGAAGCCATATTGTAGTTGGGAAGGAGCTCAGAGCCAAAGGCCATTTGAGGGATATTTTTTCCATATATCCCCTGATGTAGGATGATGAACTATACCTGTCTCACACAATGCCTCTGCAGTGACACAAGTGGTATGGCCCCCAGCACTCCTGACTCTCTCTCCTTCACCTGTGCAGTGCTGGGTGAAAGCTGCCAAGTTCTTGCATGTAGGGATTTCTGCTGTCTAGACTGCTAATCATTCCTCTTTTATTTATCACATAAATATTTTTTAAATGTTTTTGTTGATTTCAGAGATAGAAAGGGAGATGGAGAGAGGGCTAGAAACATCAACGATGACAGAGAATCATTGGCTGCCTACTGCATGCCCCTTACTGGGGATGGAGCCTGAAACCTGGGCATGCGCCCTGACCGGGAATCCAACCATGAGCTTCTGTTCATGGGTTGACGCTCAACTACTGAGCCACACCTGCCAGGCTAATTCCTCTCTTATTAATATGTTCTTTTTCCAATGGATATAAAATGGCAGCCTTCTTAATTTAGCCAAGTGGCCGTTTCATCAGAGTTTTACATGGGCCCAAATATTTTTTTTCTTTGTGATTCCTTTTATTATGAATGGGTTCACATATTTTTCATAACTTTACCAATCATTTGAACTCCCTTTTCTGTGAGCTATTAGTTTATATCCTTTACCCATTTTCTATTGTCTTAATCCTGTTTTCTCATATAAATTATTATTGCATCAAAGAAATAAGCTTTTTGGCCCTGGCTGGGTAGCTAAGTTGGTTGTGACCCAAAACATTTTAGTCACATACTGACAGTCTCTGGGTTTCTTTCTCAGGTGATTAACCTCATCCAGTATGTGTGAATGTAAAACAGTTTGACCCTCAGGAGATGAGCTTATAGATTCACTGTTGCTTCCTCACCACTGAGGGACACAGTTTAAGTCTGGACTGCGGAGTTCAAACCCACACATCATTGTGTGCTATGTGATCTTGCTTTACTATCTGAGCTTTTGTTTCCTTATCTATAATGTGGAGTTAATGTGTGTGCGTTATATATTTGGATAACTTTTTATACTCAACTGGAATTGTATTAGCTTATACCGACACCAACAGTACTAAGAGTTGGAAATAGATTTTGATAGTTCTTTTAAAAATTTACTTTCCTGCAGTGAACATCTCATTTCATAATGTTTAAATGGCTTTGTTTAGGTCTTTTGAGAAAATGTATGGCTCTTTACAATGTTTGCTTCTATTTTTTCAGCTTAGAAATCATATATTATACTTGATAGAAAACTATCAAACAGTGGTGATTGTTGGAGAAACAGGATGTGGGAAAAGCACGCAGATCCCACAAGTGAGTATGTATTTAAATGTGTCTCTGCACTTCGATTTGATTGGAAGGGTTTTGTAACAAGAACTCTACTTAATCATTTGCATTTTTACCATCTTCTCTCAGAGAAGAAGTATTCAACCAAACTGGACATATTTTTATTAAACTATTAAATTTATGATTTCTTTGATTAGTACTTAAGTAACAGTCTTTGATTTATTATAATTCCACTAGTGGCCTGGTGCACAAAATTTGTGCATGGGAGGAGGGAGTCCCTGAGCCCAACCTGCATCCTCTACAATCGGGGACCCCATGGGGAATGTCAGACTGCCAGTTATTAATATGTTCTTTTTTGAGATTGGGCCTAAATGGGAAGTTGAACATCCCTCTCTCAATCTGGGACCTCTGGCTCATAACTGCTCACCTGCCTGCCTGCCTCATTGCCTCTAACTGCCTCTGCCTGCCTGCCTGATTGCCCCTAACCCCTCTATCTGCCTGCCTGATCACCCCTAACTGCCTTCCTCTGCCAGTCTGGTTGCCCCCAATGCCCTCCCCTGCTGGCCTGATCTCATCCTTAACTGCTCTTCCCTGCTGGCCTGATTGCTCCTAACCTCTCTGCCTGCCTGCCTGATTGCTCCTAACTGCCCTCCCTTGCCAGCCTGATCTCACTCCCAACTGCCCTCCCCTGCTGGCCTGATCTTGCCCCCAACTGCCCTCCCCTGCAGGTGTGATCTTGCCCCCAACTGCCCTCCCCTGCCGACCTGGTTGCCCCCAACTGCCCTCCCCTGCCAGCCTGATCACCCCTAATTGCCTCTGCCTTGGCCCCAACCACCATGGTTTTGTCCAAAGCAAGTCGGACGTCTGGATGATGGCCGGTTGACCCGGTATAATTAGCATATTACCCTTTTATTAGTATAGATAGATTATAAAGGATAGGATTGCTTAAATTGGGTGGGGGGAGCCTTTTTTCAGAAGGAGGAGGTGCTCTTGGCAGACAAAAATACATAATCCCTAAATCTGGACTGATAGCCATCCATATGCACTATACTGCCAAACCGGTCATTAAAAAATTTCTTACACCTTACACCAGTTGTTGCCCTTAAAACTCCTCCTCAACCGTCACCTTAGGCTCTGCCTTCACAGTTCAACCAGATTAGGTTCTGATTTGTTGGTTCTTTTGCCAGTCAACGTCTCGGGCTTATCTCCAGGCCTGATCAGAGAGGCGGAGCTGATCAGTAGCTGCCTCAGGCTGCTGGCAAGTGGGCTGAACTGCTCACCTCTTGGAAAGAGAGAGGCACGGCATCTTGGGAGGTCCAGGGGAGAGAGAAAGACAAGGGCTGATCCACTGCTGCCACAGAGGCTGCGGATTAGCCCCTGCTTCTCTCTCCAGGCCTCACAAGTAGCCACAGCAGCTGCTGATCAGCCCTGCTTCTCTCTTTGAGAGGTCAGCAGTTCAGCTAGCTTGCCAGTCCCCTCCCACTTGAGACTGCTGTGCATGCAGCCTGGCCTTCTGTCATCCCTTTGGTCATTTTGGACCCTGGCGTGCATGCTCTCTCTATAGATAGATAGATAGATAGATAGATAGATAGATAATAATAATTTAATAGCCATATTCTGAAAGTAACAATGGGGACTGAGTTACAGAGGTGTAATGTGTAGTTTTTATCCTCAAATAATTGTAGTTGAGAGGCGGGGTAAAATGAATGTTGCTATAGTTGTAAATAAAAATTGATTGTTATAGAATTACAGAGGAACACATGTGAAGAGGTAGTCATGTTAAGTTACTGAGAGATTATCAGTTAGAGAATAATAATAATTAGTAATAATAAAAGCTAGTGAGAAAGAAGTATTATAATAAATGTTACTTAAAACAATCACTTTAAACAATATTTAATATTCTTATCTATTTTGGATTTTTAAAATGCATATGATCAAATTTATACAAATAAATATATATAGCATGTAAGTATATAAATAAATCAGATAAATACATATAGTCAAATTTTATGTATACTAATATAATTTAATGTTATATATACATGTATTTAAAATCTAAAATTTTATTTTAACTAAAAAATTTATACGGTTGATATTTACATTGAGCTATCCCTGTGTGTACTTTAAAAATCTTTGTTTGAAGACTTAGCTCTGAAGTAGCCGTAGTACATGAAAATTTTTAAGACTGGGGAGTCAGAATGTTGAATTCTGCCTTGGTTTTTCTGATTATTAGCTCTGATGTGAACGTAAACAAGTTACCTAACATTTCCAAGTCTCAGAACCATCATTTGCAAAATAATTTACAAAATATCTGTTGGAACAAGAACCACCTGTCATTTCTTTTCTCAGTGATTTTAATACAATACAGTGTGACTTCAGGGGAGGTGGTGTCAGATGTGTACTTAGATGTGATTTTGTTTGTAGTACCTTGCAGAAGCTGGCTGGACAGCTGAAGGGAGAGTTGTAGGAGTGACCCAGCCTCGAAGAGTGGCTGCTGTTACGGTGAGTTTTTGTTTTTTCTTTTTGTATTGCAGGCTCTTATCTGTTATCTTCTATTTCAGTGACTTATCTTTTTTCTTGTTTCCTAAAAGCTCCAAATGAATATGACATTACTCCTTAAAAATTTAATTCTTCAGTTTAAAAAGAACTATAACCTGATTATTTTTATAAAATTGGCACCTGTACATTATGAATTAAAAAAAAAAATAAATATATATATATATATATATATATATATATATATATATATATATATATTACTGATTTTTAGAGAGAGAGAGAGAGAAAAACATAGGTGTGAGAGAACAGTATTCATCTACTTCCTGCTCATGTTCCCCAACCAACTGAGCCACACTGGCCAGGGCACATTATGAATTTCTTTCCTTTTTCTTCATTGGCTTTAAGGGAATGGGCTTGTGTTAGTCTTTTAAAAGTGTATTTTAAATTAGGCAAAGACTTTTTTCAAATGTTTTTATTGATTTCAGAGAGGGAGAGAAACATTGATTGGCTGCCTTTTGCAGGCCCATACTAGGGTTGAGCACAACACCGGGCATGTGCCCTGACCACGAATTGAACCAGCAACCTCCCAGTGCCTGGCGACGCTCAGCCGACTGAGCCCCACTGGCTAGCTTGTGCTTTTAGTGACTGCAGAATTGTGAGGTTGCACTGGTTAATGAACAGCCTCTCACCAAATCTCTTATCCTTCTTTGCTGGGGATCAGATGGGGATCTTGCGGTCCACTCCTTATTGATTTAAAAGGTCTGTAATGGCTCAAGATGAAATTTCTCGGCTCTCTGATTTGGGATTTGCTGCTTGCTCCTGCCTGCCTGCCTTTCCTCTTCAATTCCTGCACCTTGTGATTCTTGCCTTCAATGTGGGTTTCCCACCGAGACATTCTGTGTGTCTTCAGGGCCTGGGCCCACTGCGCCTCTGACTTCCTCATACAAGGATTGCCAGCCCTGCCTGTAGGGTGGTGACACAGGGCGCCAGCAGCCTGCTCTGGTTGTGAGGAGGCTGGGCTTCTCTTCGAGGTCCAGGCCTCACAGTATTTGCAGCATCTTTCCTACGTAATTGTTTGGGCTCCTGGTTGTATCCTTTTTTCATTGAAGATGGAGTTTTTGGTTGATAATATGTTTTGTTTCTTTTGTTGTTATAAATTAGCTCTGAGAAAGGGCCATCTTTACCTGGACAGGAAATTCTGTTTCCTTGAGTTATGTTTGCTGTGTACTGGTTTTAACTACTGTGTAATACTTTTCCCCAAAGTTTATTTCTTATCGTCTTCAGGTTAGAAATTACTGGTAAACATTTTCCAAGTCTTACGTGTGTGTAAAAATAGAGATAGCAGTCTGGAAACCACTTAATCTTTCACATTACAAGAGATGACTCAGTTTCTTAAATTTTTTCTATTTATGGTTTGGGATCCCAGCTCTTAATCAGTTTGGATTTTGTTCCAAATTTGTAGCCATGGATAATTTCCATGAAACCACATGCTTTCTATGTAAAAAACCCAAAGTGTATAAATTAACAGTGTAATATTAATAGAGCTGTCAGGTTTGAAATGCTGCATCTCAAGAAGTACTTTGTGTGCAGATTGAAATCTGAAAACAATCTCAGAGCCTAGAACAGATTGCATAAGCAATTGCTTGATCTCTGTGAGAGGCAGTTACTATTGAGTGTGTTTATTCCACTCAGATGGTCTGGGTCTGGCTTCAAGGCTGGGTCCTGCCTTGAGCTGTGATCCTATCTTATTTCACTTTCTCTCTTTAGGTATCTACCTCATGGGCTGTGTGCATCTTTAATGACACACAAATTGTGAAAGTTTGGAGCACAGTACTGACTGGTTGTAGGTGTTCAGTGTTTTTTTTTTTTTTTTTTTATCCCTTTCCCTCTTTTTATTTGCTTTTGTCAAAAAATAATATTTATCCTGTCCAATTGATGAGCTTAATAGAAGTAAATATCTATTAAAAAGCCAGTAGATTATGATATTAAGTGGTGTGGTCATAAATAAAGTTATTAAAAAAGAGTTTGAGGCCCAGGCTGCGTAGATCAGTGGGTTAGAGTGTCGTCCTGCTACACCAAGGTTGTGGGTTTGATCTCCGGTTAGGGCACATACCGGAATCAACCAATAAATGCATAAATAAGTGGAACAACAAATTGATGCTTCTTTCTCTCTCTTTCTCTCTCTCTCCCTCTCTCTCCCTCCCTTCTTCCCATCTTCCCTACTTCCCTCCTTCCCTCCCTCCACTTCCTTAAAATTAATAACAAAAAAGAGATTGATAACAAAATACATATTTTTATAGCAAATGTATATAAAACAGTGATATAATATGACTAAATAGTTTTGGCTTCCTTCTTGTATATTATATTTTTTAGAGAGGATTGGTTCATTTATGCTTATTCTTATAAGCCTATTTCCCCCGTCAACTCCTAGTATGTCGTCTTTGTACACATTCTCCATTTGTGCCATTTTCTGAGATTTGTTGTATAATGATCCATAGGGTTGAGACTGAAACAATAACAGAACCGCCCTGGTGAAATGCTGGTTATCGGGAAATATAACCTGCAGAGGTAGAGCCATCTAGGATGAATTTCTAGTTTCATAAGATGTTTTGAAAGACTGTGAGGTGTAGATCAGCTGCTGGATGATTGATTCTGTTTTGGCCTACCAGATCTATAATTTCCAGTCGTTAGGCCGAGCCACTCCTGATCCTCATCTGCTCTTGAATTTCTTAAACACTGATGGCAGATAACTCCTGGTGTGCTTGGCTGGGGAGCTACGTGCTGGGACACTGGGCTCCTGAGCTTGAGGGTGCTGTGGCCCAATGGCCATAGCAGTACACTCTGCTTCAGGGCACCTGTGTCCGCCCACATTCCAAGCCCGAGACTCAGGGACTGCATGGGCAAGTGGCTTCACATTGGGTAGATGTGCCAGGTCCCCAGGGAATCTTTGTAATTTTGCTTCCCTTGTTTTTTTCAATTAGGTAATTTATATAACAAATGTTACACTCTTTATTTTCTTTTAAATTTCAAACATTATTGCTCTTTCACTTTTATCTATACTCATTATTTCAGGTATTTTCTATTAATAAGATAATAGCTTGACTGTCCTTGGAGAGGTAGGAGATTTTGCTGTCAGATTGTTTTTTTCAGTTTCTTACACTCACCTTTTGTCATATATGGGTGGGTAAAAAAAAATCAATAATTTATGGTCTTCATAATACATTATGTACTTCGTTTTCTAGTTTTATTTTATTACGTTAACTTGGGTTGTTGGTTAATCTTCTCATCAGCTTATCTGCCCTTTTTTACTTTTTAATCCTCATTCTTGTCTTTATTTCCTTTTTTAATGGTTTTGGTAGCTGGGACACTGTTACACATTGTTGTAGAATAGAAAGGAAAAATAATTTGGCTCAGTATTGAATTTGATCATTCCTGTTCCCCTGCCTTCATGGTCCAGTGGAAGGTGCCTTATTTCAAGGCATAAAGACATGAACATTTGTGTGTGGTTGGTATATGAAAGAATAGAGAAGGCTTTAGGAACAGAGTGATCTTGTCATTTCTTCTGCTTCCCTTTTTGTTTCGGCCACCGGAAATTTAGAGCTGAATTTGTAGCTCAGCTTAAATAACTGGCATGTCTATATTTTTAAATTTTGCTCATTGTCCTTGATCTTTTGAATTTCACCTGTCATTTCTTTGATCCTGACTTGTGACATCTTTACTGGATTCTGTTTTTATTGCGTATGTTCCTAAAATTTGCCTCAAGTTGATTATAGAGTGAGGTGAGTTATAAAAAGTTAATAAATCACAAAAGTTATCACACTTGTTCTCTAATAACCTGCCCTTTTACATTTTCCACTGTGTTCACATACTATTTAAAAATAAGTGACCTTTCTATTTTCCTTAGTGTGTGCTCTGTGCAGTAATTCCTGTGTCTCTATTTTCAGCATGATCTTTCTTCCCAAAGGTTGCAGGGAGAGTGGCTGATGAGAGGGGTGCAGTGCTGGGCCATGAGGTGGGCTATTGCATTCGCTTTGATGACTGCACTGACCCGCTGGCTACAAGGATTAAGGTGAAGTGCTCACGCCGCATTTCCTAGTGGGAATAGGAAGACGATTATTTGGGGGGGAATTAAAAACATGCTGCATTACTGCTGATGGGACACCTGTACCATGGCCCTCAGGGAATTTGGTCTGCGGGGAGGTACACAGCCTTGACTCTAAGCCTTAAAAGGACCTTGAAAGGAAGATGAAGCCCTTGGTTCTACAGAAGAAGAGGTTGAGGACCTAGGAGGTTGAATAACTTGCCTAATGTCACGTGCCTGTCAGTAAAAGAACCAGGATTCAAAGCTATCCTTTCCTATGTGTTTTTACTATTTTCCAATGATCGACATAGCTTTCTAAATACAGAAACTTGCTTATAAAAAGGCCTAAAAACAGGGACATGGTAGTATAAATTGATAAAGTGTAGAATTTAATTTTACTAGTTTAGGCCTTTCTAATTTTTTCATGAAAATGGATTTTACGTGTTTGTTTTTTTTAACCTATATGCTAATATTAAAATAATTAGTATCAATAGTAATTAATGTACAATCAACTCAACAGAGTATCTTCTGGATACCACTATGCTGGAATCAAAGTCTAATCACATAGTACTCTAAAAGCATGAATGAGAATGCTCGGATGAAATGAAAATTGTTATTAGAATCTCAGTTAACGTCTCAATTTGCAATAGAGGCAAATTGGAAATAATGAGATGAGTTAAATGAACAATGTAGTAAGTTGTAAAAAAATAGAGACCTTGTTTTCAAAATTTCTATATTTTGTTACCTTTACATTCATTTTACTAAGTAAAGGGAATATTGTCTGTACCATTAAATATATTTAAATTAGCTAATTTTTAGGTAAATTTCAGTGGATTATGTAACCAAATGGTCATAATTTCAAGGCACTCATTTCTTAACCGGTGGCCTGTCATTGGTGGCAGGTTCTCATTTTCACTCCAGTGTGTCTGTGTGGCAGCTGTACCAGCTCTAAGAAAAAAAATTATGGCAATGTATCCTGCTCTTATAAACAAAAAGCGAAAACACTAAGTTACAGCATGTGAGGAAGTTGGTTAGCCTTGTTAAACTACTGAACTGTTTGGGTGAGAGTCACAATATCTCCTTCTTGCTGCATATTTCTAAAGCATTTTGTAAACATTCATTAATCTTAAATGATAATATCTGACATTCCTGAACACTGTGTCCCGGGCTCTGTGCTAAACACTTTATGTGTGCTGTCTTAATTCTCACAGTAACCCTCTGAGGTAGATACTTCCATTATTTCCATTTTACAAAGGAGGAATCAGGCTCAGAGAGGGGGTTACTTGCCCAAGGGTACTAGTAAGATAGAGGTCTAGTAAGATAGAGCCAAGATCTGAACTCCCCGCAGCCTGACACAGCCCATGCTCTTCACAACAGTCCCTTTCACCTCCCTCACATAATATCAGTTGAAGCTAATATCAAGAGCTGTAAGTCCATAGTTTTTGGGGCATTTTAACAAGTTTTGTCATTCTCATGGCATGCCTGTGGGCAGACATAGGCTGTCTTTACTGCCTGCTCAGCAGTACCAGTGGTGTGGCGGCCCAGAGGAAGTGAGGCTCAGTCGATGTCCAGATAGTAAATGCAGGTGAAATTCAGCTGAAAGAATTGCAGGCCCCAGCAGGAGAGCTCATGTTTGAAGTCTTGTTTGTGAGCGGTTCCATTGCTTGATAACTAAAATGTTGGGGCATTTCTTCATTGTCCTTTGTGGGAATTATCTTGTACACTTGCTGGTAAAGAGGTTCTTTAGTTGCACTTGAACTTTTTAGAAAAAAAAAATCATTAATGTACATATAAAAGAAATATTTCTAAAACTTGTGTGTTTTTGTTTTTTAGTTTCTGACGGATGGAATGTTGGTCAGGGAAATGATGGTTGATCCTTTGTTAACAAAATATAGGTAAATGTCTTTTTCTTATAACTTCCCTAATGTTTCAATAGTAGAGTATATAAGTAAATTGAAAAGGCAGTTGTGTTAGTAACTGAGGTTCACATCTGTGTTCAGCTGCCCTAAAGCTTTTGTCCTTACCTTGGCTGTTTAGACCCTTGATGTTTTTCTCAGACTTTACAGACAGAAAAGGGCAAATTAAAATCCCTGATGTTATTTGAACAGTCTGTGGACTTGTCCTTTGTATCTTGCCTCTGTTATGTGCCAGGATTAATAGTGTCTTCAGAGTCGCAGCACAGAACTGGGCAGCATTTTATTGAATGTAATTCTCAGAGTCCAAATAATTATACTTTGTGTGTCTTTATCACTCAAGGCATTAAAATTGTCCATCCAGGCTCTGGCATTCTGGGAAAGGATGTCACATTTGACTTCCTGGTACACATGCAACACAGCTGTGATCATGTGGCCCTTTGTGTTACTTTCTGCAGCTTAAAAATCTTTAAGTGGTTGGCCTTGTTCCAATTTGTATGTGCTCTGTGGGTGATATGTTATAATTTAAAATCATGCATTAGATCCTCTTGGAATCCAATGTGGGAGATAAAACTCTTTAAATAGAGCAATAGATACACCATTTTCTTCACCAGCATACGTTGCAGTCACCATTTTTATTAGCTTAAGAGCTTCCTCCTTGTCAGAGAGGAGTTATTTGCTTTATTTTGATACAAGGTGATTGCATGGGGCTAAATACCTAGATGTCCCTTTGATGATCTGGATGGGGTTATGGGGAGGGAGCAGGGGTTGTCTGGATGCTCATAGAGATCTTCCTTCTGGTTCTCAGTGCCATCATGCTAGATGAAGCCCATGAGAGGACCTTGTACACAGACATTGCCATTGGCTTGCTGAAAAAGGTATGATTTTGCTGCCAGACTTCTGTTTTTCTGTTTTTGTTTTGTTTTGTTACCTGATTAGGAAAATAATTGTAGAAATTTGGAAAATCCAACAAATTATGAAGGAAAAAACTTTAAATCATCATCCATAACCCTTATCCTATCCATTCAGAGAAAGTCACTGGTGGAATGTTGGTATGTTTTCTTCTCTTTTCTGTGTTCATTTTGTGTATAATGAATCTGTTTTGGCATAATAGGGATTAGATTATATATGCTAATTTGTGTCTTGCATATTTTTCTTACCATTATATCAAGGTCATTTTTCTGTGTCATTAAGTATTCTTTGAAGATGTTATTTTTAATGGCTATATAACTGTATCTCTACCATTTGATTTTCCCCTTACTGCCAGGCATTTATGTTTCTATATTTGAAGTATCTATACTAATAAAAGGATAATATGCTAATTAGATTGGGTTGATGGGACATCTTCTGAATGTCCAACTTCCTTCTGGACAAAGCCATGGTTCTGGGGGCTGAGGCAGAGGTGGTTAGGGGCGATCAGGCTGTCAGGGAAGCAAGCAGTTAGGGGCGGCCAGACTGGCAAGTAAGCAGTTAGGGGGTGACCAGGCTGGCAGGAGGCAGTTAGGGGGAACCAGGCCAACAGGGGTTAGTTAGGGGGTGGCCAGGTTGGCAGGGGGGCAGTTAAGGGGTGATCAGGCTGGCAGGGGAGTAGTTGGGGGGTGATCAGGCTGGCCAGAGGACAGTTAGGGGGTGACCAAGCTGACAGGGGCTATCAGGCAGGCAGGCAGTCAAGTGGTTAGAAGCCAGAGGTCCTGGATTGTGAGAGGGTGCAGGCCAGGCTGAGGGAACCCCCACCTCCTTGCACAATTTTGTGCATCGGGCCTCTAGTTTTAAATAATGTCACAGTGAGCACCCTTATAATTAAATCTGTTGCATTCCTGCTTTTTTTCATCTATCTTTTAAAAAATTTATTATCATAGGAAGTTTTAAACATATCCTAGAGTAAAGAGAGGGTCTAATGACCCCCCTGTACCCAACATCTGGCTTCAGTAATTATAACTCCTGGTCATTATTGTTTCTACCTTACCTCCATCTTCTCCCCCGTTCCTGATTTTTTATTTAAAATTTTCTGATTGTTTTCTTTGGATAAATTTCCATATCAGGAGTCTAGAAAGTGATGGTAGAGCAGAACCTGGGTCAGACTGCCGGGTTCAAATACTGACTGTTGAGTTTACTCATATCTACAATGAGGATAATAGAAGTGTCTGTGTGTGTGCAGTACACTTTCACATATGGTAGCCACTAACCACCTTAGATTTAAATTGGCTAAAATAGAATAAAATACAAAATTCGGTACCTCAGTCATACTGGCTATATTTTAAGGCTCTTTAGCCACATGTGCTGCGTGGGTACAGCATGGGATAGAGCCTCTCCATACTGGGGAGAGTTCTCTAGCTCAGAGCTGCTCTTTATCATAATTTTTTATGAGGCTTAAGTAGACAGTGTGAAATTCTTAGGATGGCATCTGGCCTAGGGTCACAAATAGACTGTAAGACACCTTTGTGCAAATTAGGAAAAGATTCCCCCACTGGGAGGATGTCCCCAGGCAACGGAGGGGCGTGTGCATTGGATTTCAGATGCCCTGGCCCCCTTAGGCAGGCATCTTTGTACAGTGCGTAAGCTACACAGCTGTCCTTTGGGACCCTGGAGTAGTACAGAACTCAGTGTCTGTTAGCTGCTGCTGCTATTTCGATTATCATTTTATTTCTTGGTGAAAGATTTAGACTTTGATATTTATGAGGGCTTATCCTATATTACCTTCTTAAGAACAATATAATAAGAGAGCTTATTGCACTGAATCTTTGCAAACACTAAATATTAGCACAAAAAAAAACCAACGTCCTTGCCAGTGTAATAGTTGAAAAAAAGAATCTCATTGTTATTATATATATTTGTTATAGTTTATATGATAATTTCTCCTATGCCTGTTGATCATCTTTTTCTTCTGATAACTGTTACTATCTTTTGCCCATATTTCTAACTTGGTGTTATCGTTTGTTTGTTTGCTTTTAAAGTACTTTTTTATACTTTATCTATATTCAGGGTGGGGTTTTCTGCCATCCTGTATACACAGATTCTGACTATCCAGAGACCCAGGTGCCAGGAAAAATGGTTTTACTTGCAGTAAATTCAAATCTTAAAGCTTCTTTTTACTTTCTATTAAATTGTTTTAGCTCTTTATTTTGGAAAATTTTGTGCAATTGGAAAGTATAGAATAATAAACCCTATTTTAACCTATGATTTTAATAATTATCAATTTGTGGTCGGTCTTGTTTCATCTATAAGCTCCCCTCTTACCCCCAAAAATACACATACTAAATTATTATAAATTTCAGATATCAAATTTCATCCGTAAATTTTACAGTTACTGTTTTATGATGCCTTCATTTTTAGATTCAGAAAAAGCGAGGGGATCTTCGATTGATTGTGGCTTCAGCCACTCTGGATGCAGAGGTAAGAACATTTCCCCCCTCTCCTGTCCCCCCTCTCCTGTCCCCCGTAAACACTGGAATCATTGGCCGTGACTATGGGAAGTTATCTCTACAAGCGCTTATCTTTGACAGAATGGCCTCCCTCCCTTATGGAGCCATCTGATGACCTAGATTCCGGGGGATCAGAGGATACTCCTTTTTAGCCTGTAGGTGGAAATCAACCTGTAATTAATTGAGCTCATAATACCTACTTGTCTTGTTTCTCTACATACTGTTTCTCCTCTTACAGGCAGCTTCTTTTTATTACTTTTGTTAGTATGAGGTTATATTTCTTGCACTTACTTATGGCTAGCATTTATATTTAGAATTTTTGTACAATTGAAGTTTTTACTGTACATATAATGTCCATTTTTTTGTGGCTAAGTTTATATTATTATTCTCTCTTAACTAATATTTAAGTTCAAATAGCAACTCATCTCAACAAATAATTTTGATCCCTTGTCATATCTATAAAATAAACAGGTATTTACAGTTCAGCATGTTCACGGTGCTGAGGTAGCCAAGGAGAGAGTTCCTAACTCCAGCTGGCTCGAAGGTGTCCAGAAGCTTTCACAGCGGAGGGACATCCAGTTGGGTTTGACAGATGCAGAAGTTTGTCAGATGGGCAGGGGTGGGGAAGCACATCCTGAATATGCACAGAGCACAGGCTGTGAAAGCATGTGTGCATGGGGCTGGGAGTCAAGCGTAAGGTGGGAGTCTTACCAGTACGGCCTGATACAGGGTGATCTGCCACATTCTCCAGTGTTTCCTACACTCCATCCTCACTGGTCCCCTTGCTTTTCCTTCGAAAAACCCTCTTTCTACACCATTCTTCCCTCAGACGTTCTCATGGCTCCACCCTCATTTCATTCCAGTCTTGACCAGGTCTGATACTCTCAGAGAGGTCTTTCTTGACCACTCTGTCTAAAGTAGGGCCCTGGCGCTATCCAGCTTCTTACTCTTATTTTTTTCTGTTTAGAACTAACATTAGGTTTATATCGAGTGTTTGTTTATTGTGTGTCTCTCATCATGAAACGTACACTTCCTGAAGATTTGGACTGTGAATGTCTTCAACAGTGTCTGGCATAATGTAGGTGCTGTGGGTTGAATGAGTTTTGATTGAATAGGAGGCAATGAAGATTAAAATGGAAAGGCTAGTTGGTCCGAAGGTTGTGGGTTCTTGTTAAGCTGATTAAAATGGAAAGTTGGTAAGGGTCAGATGATGGAAGACCTTACAAGCCAACCAGAGGAGGAAGAACTCCATCCAGCGCCTGGTCGGGAGCCTTGGGAGGGTCTGAGGATGTGACTTGATCATATTGACTTGATTCTAGGAAGAGCATTCTGGTGCTGTGTAGAAGAGACCAGAGAGACGTGGAAATAGCAGTTAAGAGGCCAGTTTTATAATCCAGTTGAGAAGGGCCTGGCCTCACTGTGGCTTTAGGATCCAAAGAACTGGGAGAGAGAAAACCCCAGCATGGCTAAGAGAGGGGTCTGCATGTGCACCCAGGCTGCTTGCAGATCTTCTCACTAGGCCGTAGGAGGCTGGTGTCTTAAGTCTGCCCATGATAACTTCTGGGGCAAAGCTCCTTGGTTGCCTTCTTTAATTCTCATGTCCTTCACCCACAATACCTGCTAGAATGCTATTTTGAGGACCATACCTGACCTCTCCTGTTACCTCCTCCATGGCTAAGTTGCACAAAACATCTCTACTTCACATCTTATCTTTGTTATTTTCCCTTGTAAAAAGTATTCCCAAACGTTTTTATTATGTTTGAAAACTATGAAGTCCGAGTCTTTTTTTAGAACAACTGTTAAATAATACTTATTGCTCACAATTGCCTTGATGTGACATAGAAATTAAAAAAAAATAGCTTTTTTTAGTCCTGCCTACAGTAGTTGAGATAGATCGACTTTCTGGAAGTGGTTTCTTTAAGTGGGAAAGTAGAATGAATGTAGGGAATTTGTGATGCTGTGGGGATACTATGATGCAGGCATGTCAGGACCTCAGCATTGTTTAGCCCGGCCTTTGATGGGCCATTTACCCATTTACCCATTAATTGCCCCGTGCTGGGGGTGAAGGTGAAGTCTGTGTGCATGAGGGGAGGACCTCAGGGAGAGAATCAGTTCTGTGGGAGTGTAGGTGCACGTGGGGCGTGGTTTACGAGTTCCCATGTGAGAGTGAGTGAGGAAGAGGAATGGAGTGAGCTGAAGAGGGCGAGGGAGGAAGAATAGGAGCGGGCGTGGGAGTGGGAAAGGGTGTGGCTTAGGCAGCATTTGACCACGAGGTCCAGGAGATGCCAGAACTCATCCCTGGTCCCCTAGCTGCTGGATCTGTGGGTGACCAACTAATTCCAGTCCCTGCTGCCTGGGGGGTAGATGATGCCACCTGCTCTGGTTTTGCTCAGGGCCCAGGTGGCTCAGCAGTGATTGCAGCTGGGAGGCAGAGGCAAGCATGACTGGGCTGGTCACATTGTTTAGTTGCTTTGTTAATAGAAGCCTAATTAAGCAAACAATTACAGAAAACATGACCAGGTATAATTACGAAGTATTTATTGACCAGTAGTATATCACATGCTATTGTTTTTCTTTTATTTGCTTTTAGCCACGTGGCAGAAAATGGGATTGCTGATTACTCCCACAGTTTTTGGTCACAGGTCCAGCTACTTGGGAAGAAAACTTGGGGTCATCTGGGGTCAGATATTCACTTGGGACTAATCCGTGTGGGCCAAGGCCTGTTGGACCTGAGATGGACATGGCTGCTAAAGGCCACTTCTTTGCCCAGGGAAGGAAGCTGTGGGGAAGGCAACCCAGCAGATGTCCACGTCATTTTCATTCCATTTCATAGGCTGTTCTCCTTCTTTATGTCACTTTGTTTCTTACTGTATGTCCATGTCAGTGCGACCCCCTTTCCAGGTGTGTTGAGCCTGTTTCACTCCTTCTGTTCTGTCCTTCTGCCTCAAAATGTATACACTGTTGATACTATGTTTATTTGCTTTCTAGCCTGTAATTTTCTGTATGTATTTTATATTTCCAAATAAAGATAAAAGGCAAAGGTCTTAAAGATTAAGATCTTATGCCTTCCAGGGAATCTAAATGGATAGAAAAAAATAAGCAAAATATCCACTCCACTCTATGCCAGCTCTACCAACAGAAGCAGGATTTGAATCTAGGAGACCTGAGGCTACCGTTATCTTCTCAGCGAACATAAGAAGTATTCCTTTTAAAACATAGCTGAGCAACCCAAGAAGAGATGATGGGCACAGAGGCGTAAGGGGTTAAGAAACTGAGTGTCCAGGTTTTGAGTACAAGTTTATGTGTCAATGCCAAGACTAAGAAAATGATGTGTAAGAAGTTCCTGAAAGTGATAAGTAGATTTTCCCCAATGAAATAGCAGGAATATGTATGTTGTGACCTAAATGCCACAGCTCTTTGCATTAATATAGAACCTAATGTCTCATTTTGTACAGAAACAGATCTACTTTCGTGCAGAAATCAAGCATATTTCTAGAGTCCAGGGTAAAATAAGCATTTCAGAGACTTACATAAGTAAGATTACTAGAATCTCTGCATAATCCTGGAGTGTGTGTGTGTGTCTCTATTAATAACTGAGATTGATTTTTCCAATAGACCCATGAAGGGAACTTTAAAGCAAATTAAATTCAAATAAATATCCAAGTATAGTGGTTGCATTTCATACCCACCACACAAGGCAAGTGCAAATGTTTTAAAATACAACCACAAAAATGGAGCCAGGAAGTGAAACTTAATATGATTATTCCAGAATATTCCAAATCCAGAATTTATTTCAAAAGTATATAGTTTTCATTTCACAGCACTTCGTGCTTATTGCTTACTTGATGTGTTTATGTTACTTTAAGTTATTACTTTGTGCTTATAATGCTTTTTTTTTACTGTAAATTATTATTCTAACTTTAAATTCTTGAATCAGTTTTGGAAGTGTAGACTACTGGAATGAAATCCATTAAATAAGTCATCTTCTCATTTGAAAAAAAAAAAAAGATCTTGTGCCTTCTCAGTTAATGCTAAATTTTATTTCTTGAAAAATTAACTTCCCATCTATACTCTTCAACACACATATTCCTGAGCAGCTAAGGGGTAGCCGCCCACTCCAGCAACATTGTTAAGGCATCAACTTCCTCCCTGTTCTGTTTGTCTTTTTGCTCCAAAAAGCCTCTGTCAAGCCCTTCCTAAAATCTTCCTCCTCCGCCAGCAGCTCCTGGAGCTACACCGTCTCCCCTCTCTCCTGCCTCCCTAATGGCTTCCCCTCGGGCTGCTTTACTGGCCCCTCTTTCTCCAGGCAGCCTACCTCCTTTGTGCTGGAGATGAACTTGGCTGTACTTCTGCTCTCTAACCTAAGCTGCCAGACCACTCAAACTCATAGACCTGGGACTCCTATCACCCTGGCACTCTGTGGCAGTCCCTTTCTCATTGTCGTGATGGTTCAGGCTCAGGACTTCATTGCTTGGGGATGTGATTTGGTAAGAATTCCACCCTCCCCAGCTTGCCTGGGCATGTGCTCACACACCCTGACGGCCAGGTCCTGTCAGTCTTTACCCTTGGAGTGCTTGGCTTTCAAACAGCCCTGCCCGAGTCTGCGCTTTCATTCCCTCTCCTCTGAACTATTACAGTACCTCCCTCAGTCTGCTGGCCTCCATTCTCTTATCACACCCGCCCTTCTCCAAAATGACCACCAGAGCCAGGCACCCGGAGAACAGGTCTGATATTATGCCTTCCTCACTGCCCTGGTCTTGTCTAAGAAAGTGCCCATGTAGTGTGACATTTGGGCCCCTTTAGAGTGATAACACAGACACTCACTGTGCACTCATTCTAGTCACACTTTATTAGAACTGCACAACAATCTTACAGGGTAGGTAGCAGTTTATTCATTTTATAGACAGGATGGCTACTCGCAGCTGGCCTGCCCTAAACCTTGGACTCTGTGCTCTGTCAGGGGCCCTTTCCATCTTAGTGTCCACTCTGCTCTCATCCTGGGAAGGGGTGTCTCTTCTTCCCGGCCATCCGTAAGGCGTAGCCCAGGGAGACTGCCCCTCCATGCTGCCTTCCCCAAGAGCCAGTCATTGACCTCGCATCCCCTTCACTTGTAACTTGTAGCTCTCTTCTGGCCATTTAGTCATTCTGCCTCGGTTCATGTTGTGATTGGTTCTTTGCACACCTGCCCTCTTGGATTATTCACTTTTTTGGGACATCAGGATGTCTCTCTTCACTTGCTCGTGGATCCCTTCTAGCATGCCTGTGCTCTGTACGTCATAGGACACAGAAAGGCTGAAATTAATCAAAGGGAATTTTCCCCAAAGTGAAGTGAAGAATAGTGCCTTATGATTCTTCATAACACAATGTAGTTCTGTTGTTGGCACGAGGCACTTTTTTATCTGTGCTTACTCTTCTCAAACACAGCATTGAAGTTAATGTGTAGTATCCCAGGTTTTGGTGATTAAATCCAGTTTAGAAGCACTCCCTCGAGCCCATTCATTTTGTATTTGATGCAGTTCCTCAGTGTATCCCAGGGCTCCCAGATTCCAGGAGCAGGCATGGGCATGCTGAGTAATGACACCTGAGGAAGTATAGACAGGACATGTGATCATGTAGTTAGGCCTCCTGGGAGGGTAAAAACTCATGCCCAAGCAGGCCCCTGGGGAACTGGAATATAGTTGGGGAACAGGAAGGTCATTGACACACTCCACTTAATGGGGTGCCTGTGACCCCTGAGCCGCTGGCACAGCAGCTTCCTATCCAGCGCTCACTGTCCAGCCGGTTTGGTCACTCAGCTCTTCTCAGGCTCGGCGTCTTTGTGTGTCTTGGGGCACCTTGGGGATCTTTGGTAGTGTCTCCTTGCCCCATTGTTGGCCAGAGCGCTCTTTCCAGGCCTCCCTATAGACTGCCAGTCTGGTGATCAAGTGCCATAGAGGAGAATAAGGCTACCCATTTGGGAGGAACTGCTGAGAGCCACTTCTCTCAACAGGGTATGGGGCAAATGTCAGCAAATACAGTTTTGAAATCTAATCTTTATTGTTTTTATCAAACCTTAGTAAAGAATCTGTCACTGAAATGTGATCCCTCAAATTTGCAATAATAAAAATACAGTTTTTAATAACTATTTTGCAACTCATAGTCTGTATTATATATGTATCCTACTGTATTCTACTGCCAACTCCCTGCTCTGTATTCTTTTTTTTTTTGTATTGTTTTCTTTTTTCCCATGGATTATTATGAATTTTTTTTTTAAAGGATGAAAAATTGATTTATTTTACTTTTTAGAAATTTCGGGATTTCTTTAATCAAAATGAAACCAGTGACCCAACCAGGGATACATGTGTGATTCTTACAGTGGAAGGGCGGACATTTCCTGTGGACATCTTTTATCTACAAAGGTTTGATGATACTTGCTTTTTTAATGATGGTGCCTAGAAAGCTATGCCTGTATTGTGGAATGAGAAGCAACTGCATGTCTTCCAAGGGTGATATGCCTGGCAGGTGAGGAGGGGTATACTCTGTCTCCTGTCATTATTTTGTATCTCCTGTCATTGATAGGATGTCCTGGAATCCTACTCAACATCACTACCAAATTTAGTTTAAACTCTTGACACTAATGTGCAAGTTTTTATGAATCTAGTTAGAAGCTCAGTAGGAAAGAGCAAAGTGGTAACAAGGATGGGGAAGGATGATGGGTTGATAGTTTTTAGAACTGAGATTAGCCAGACAGCTGTCATTTTCACTCATATATCTTTAAATCATTTGGGTCTCAGCTCCCTACATCCTAGCAAAATGGCTGGTTGACAGTTTTGGGAGGAGCTCTCTTGAGCAGGAAGGGGGTCATCCTAATTCATATACTGCATCACTGGACAGACAGACAGTGGATTGTAAATACAGAGAGTTGGGGGCTTGACTTCTGAATTGTTTTGGCTGGACAGTGCGTGCACCCATCAGCTCCATCCATCCCTCAGACATGCTGCCAATAGTCAGGTCAGAAAATGGAAAGAGTGGGGCTTAGCACTGGGAATAGCCCTCTGTTTTCACTGGCCAGACATCTTTGCATGCTAAAGATAGCCCATCAATTTGCATAGGTTTATTGTTTTTGTTTCTTTGCAAATAAAGCAAAAAAAAAAAATCATAGCTGACATGTAATTATGAATTATTCTTTAATGTTGCATTTAAAAAAATAAAAAAGTGAATGCTTATTTTATTTATTCATATACTAATTACTGCTGGGCAGGCCTAAACTAACTTGTATGAGATTCTGCTGCCAGATTTACCAGGGTAATGGATCTATTATATAACTAGTGTGTATTGTAGTGATGAGTTTCACTCATATATCTTTTCAGTCCTGTTCCAGATTACATCAAATCAACTGTGGAAACCGTCATGAAAATTCACCAGACAGAGGGAGATGGAGACATATTAGCATTTCTTACTGGCCAGGTAATTCCAATGGACCTTTTCTCTGTAATGAACAGACATGTTACGGCAGCACCAGAATTAATATAGAAAGCTGTTACTTTGCTTAGCTGTTTATTTTATGTTTTATTGTATTTTGTGGTTACTTAATTGCAAAAAAAAAAAAAAATGGTTTGGTTTGATGTCATTCTTCTACTGACTACATAGTCAGAGAGTCATTGGCTCCTGCCTGTTCTGTCTGTAAAGGGCCAATGTCTTTGAAATTTATTAGCTGATTCCAAGGTATATTACACATTCATTCCATAGCTGTTTACTAAAATTGAATATTGCATCGGGTACATTTGTGTGTGCAGGTTGCTGCTGCAGGCTTCTTTTCCAGTGATGCCTTTACCGCTTATCCTGGGGGTGCGAAGTGGGCACATCACTGGAAAGACAATTGAACAAGCTCAAGTGTTCACTCAGGGTTGTAACACTGCTCAGAGCTACCCTCCAGCTAGAATCTTTTCCACTGTTGAGCATTTTCCACAGTTTATTAATCTTTTCTTTATTATTTTTTTTTAAATATATTTTATTGATTTTTTACAGAGAGGAAAGGAGAGGATAGAGAGCTAGAAACATTGATGAGAAACATCGACCAGCTGCCTCCTGCACACCTCCTATCCGGGATGTGCCCACAACTAATGTATTATACATGCCCTTGACCGGAATCGAACCCGGGACCCTTCAGTCTGCAGGCCGACGCTCTATCCACTGAGCTAAACCGGTTTTGGCTACTAATCTTTTCTTGAAATGCGTATAGCGATTTTATCTGCCACAGCTTGTTCATATGTATGCATTGTTTTGTTTGTCACAGTACCTCAGAGTTGAGTTATATAATCGTTGTTTATTAATCCAACAGTTGCAAATTTTCACTTGATGGGCAGCATTGTTGGGTAGCATTTAATTAAATACCACCCCAGAGTAGAATGTGGTCACACTGGAGTCATGAATCTGACCATAGTTAAAATCCTGATCCCAACTTTCGTATCTTTCATATGCTTCAACTTCAAATTGATTTTGGTTTCTTTGGCTCCTGGTTTGATGTTTTAGGAAGAGGTAGAAACCGTTGTGTCTATGCTGATCGAGCAGGCTCGAGCACTAGGCCGGACTGGGATGAAGAGACACCTCCGGATCCTCCCCATGTATGCAGGACTGCCTTCCTTTGAGCAAATGAAAGTGTTTGAAAGGGTGTCCCGCAGTGTACGAAAGGTGAGACTAACCTGATGATCACAGTGTTTGCAGACAACTAGAATCATTTTGGGGCCCCTTTGCTGTGCATTGGAAAGAATTTTTTTTTTTTTTACATTAGAGTAAAACTTGTTATACAAGCAGGTTTCTTTAAGAGCTCCATGTTTCTGTGCAGTATTTTTTAATATATATATTTTTTTTTATTGATTTTTTTTTAGAGAGGAAGGGAGAGAGATAGAGAGCTAGAAATGTCGATGAGAGAGAAACATTGACCAGCTGCTTCTTGCACACCCCCTACCTGGGATGTGCCCGCAACCAATGTACATACCTTTGACCGGAATCAAACCTGGTATCTTTCAGTCCACAGACCAACACTCTACTGCTGAGCCAAACCGGTTTCGGCTCTGTGCAGTATTTTGAAAAGCACACAATACATAATGTATTGCAAAGATTTCTGAACCTGCTCCACAGAAGGGTCACTCTGACAGTAATTACTAGAGCAGGTGACTTCTCCTTATCTCTTTCCTGCCTGCCTAGTATTTCCCCATGACATACACTGCCTTGGCTTGCAGGACCGTGTTGGTGGACTGTGATCAGTGAGAACAATAAATCTATTACTACTAGTGGTTCCTAAGCCATTGGTTTGAAGCATCATTTTGCCTGTAGTGCCAGGTTTAAGTTAATTAATTTTAGGTGTGGTTTAAAAATATTTAGCATTGAAATTGGGGTGGGAAAGGGTGTGGTGGAAAGGAAGCATTGGTTTGAAGGAGCCAGCAGGCAGCCAGTCTGCTTCCTGCTCATTGTCCTCCCTGGGCCTTACCCCCAGGACTGGCCTGAAATGGCTTGTAGTAGCTACTTAGCAGGTGACAAAGAATACAGTAGGTGGGGGATGGTCTGACAATCCGCTCCTAATTTGGATCACTTGGAAGAAAGTGCTCAGCCTTCCGGCCACTGGGAGTGAGCTTCCGGCCAGTGGGAGGGAGCAGCATGGAATCTTCCCAGTGAAATGTTAGCTGTGGCCAACCAGTCAGGAGGCTGTGGTCCTGTTCCGGAGTTACTGTGCTCTGGGACGAATTACTCAGCCTCAAGGCCAGGTGTTCTCAGCTGTAAAACATAAATAATAATGACTTGTAGACAGATGGTTTTATAGCATGTGTCTACTATGTAAAAAATGATAGGGAGATTTTTATGAAACGATAGGTATAAAAGTTCCTTTAGAAAGTTCCAAGTGCTATCTGTACATGACCCCTGCTGCTTCAGATCCTTCAGGGGCAGCTCCAATGCACTTGGAATAAAATGCAAACAGCTCACAGGGTCCCAGAGACTGTGCATGATCTGTCCTTGCCTCCCTCCAGCTTCAATGGGGGGTCCCATCTTTGGCCATGTCTGGACTCTGGCAGCACTGGCTGTTTCTCCTTTTTTTTCAAGTATTTCTTCTGCCTGGATCTTCAGGATTGGCTGCTTCTTGTTACTCACATCTCAGCTCAAAATCTCCTTTTAGAGAGATTTCCTCTGGCCATCCAATCTAAAATAGCACAGCCCATTACTATAATCTATATAATTATAGAGGAATATGCAAATTATCCGGGACGCCATAATGTCATGACCGGAACAGCAGGGACCTGAGGCTGTGCTCCGCCCCACTTGCCCCAGGGGTCTTGATGGGGGATCTCAGGCCTTACTCCCTGCCCAACAGAGCTTGACAGGAACTTCAGGCCATGTTCCCTGTCCCGGCACCAGGCTGGGGACCCTGAGGCTAACCCTCCCTTGACAGGGAGCTCAGGCTGTGCCTCCAGCACTGGGTCAGAGGACCTCACACCACGCCCCCTGCCTGGCGGGGCTTGATGGGACCTCAGGCCACATTCCCCAGCCCCTGGCAGGGCTTGATGGGGGACCTCAGGCCATGCCCCCCGCCCTGACAGGCTTTACAGGGGACCTGAGTCTATGAACCCACCTGGTGCTGGGCTGGGGGACCTAAGGGACTTGATGGGGATGTGGCCGACTGGGTCTCCTGCATTTTTAAAAAAATATATATTTTATTGATTTTTATACAGAGAGGAAGGGAGAGAGATAGAGAGTTAGAAACATCGATGAGAGAGAGTCATCGATCAGCTGCCTCCTGCACACCCCCTACTGGGGACATGCCTGCAACCAAGGTACATGCCCTTGACCGGAATCGAACCCGGGACCTTTCAGTCCCCAAGCTCTATCCATTGAGCCAAACTGGTCCGGGCAGTCTCCTGCATTTTTGAAGTGTGTGTGGGTCATAAGAACTTGACTCTAGGTCCCTCAGTGTGCCTCAGATTCTGACAGGAGGGAGATTTTCATATACAGATTACTAATTTTCTTTCATCTGATACTTCTATTATAGAGAAAGGGCAAATAGCACTATTAAAATATTTCCTCTAGTTAATTCCCTTTTAATGTGCATGAATTTTGTGCACCAGGTCACTAGTATATAATAAACACCTTAAATACTATGTAATGTTATATTCTTACTCTGTTGTATTTTCATTCTCACACTAGACTCTGGGAGAGCAGGGGTATTGTATTCTTTCTTATTCATCATATATCCCCAGCACCTTGCACCGTGCCTGGCAAAGCACAAACTCTCAGAAAATAGCTGGAATGTGAGTGAATAAATGGGTTTTACATGTACAGGGTGGTGATTTATCTTAGTTGTACAAAAGGCAAAAACTAGTGTTTGTTGAGTATTTACTATGGGCCAAGTACCAAGATTAGAGCCCAGCACTGGGAAGCGGGTAAATATTATGTTGGTGAGGAACCATGCTCAGGAGGTTTATTAACTTATCTAAAATCACATGCTCTGGAAGAATTCACACTCAGGGCACCTTGACCCTAATACTTATGCTTTTGCAGTATACCCAACTAAATAGTTCATTAAAAGTGAAAAGAACCAAATAACTTTTATTTTTACTCTTCGTTCTTTGGGGAATTTAGGTGATAGTGGCCACCAATGTGGCAGAAACCTCCATTACCATCAGTGGGGTAGTGTATGTGATCGACTGTGGTTTCATGAAACTCCGAGCCTACAATCCCAGGACAGCTATCGAGTGCTTGGTAGTGGTCCCAGTGTCCCAGGCATCAGCCAACCAGCGAGCAGGACGTGGTGGCCGTAGCCGCTCCGGAAAATGTTATCGTCTTTATACAGGTTAGTGTGGCTTTCTTTTAAGGGTTTTTTATTTCTGTCAGCCTGGACATTGGAGAGTATTATATTTACCCTCAATGGGCAAGACGTCACACAAAAGCCAGCCCTCCCTCACATGTCCCTCTGTAACCTGTACTTCTTTGCTATTGGTCCCTCTTCGCCTATCAGTGTGCTGTTTTCTTGTTCTGGGATCTCTGAACCCCCAATGGGGGGTCCCATCGTTAGCTCTAGTCAGCATCTTTGCAGATCTAAAGTATGATAGTAAGATCTATCTCACTGATAGAAAGCAAATAGTTGATCTACTTGTGCTCTGTACTGTGCACCATGCTAGGCTCTGAAGGAGCAAAATAAATACCATCAAGACTGTTCTGGCCCTTAAGGAGCCTTCTCTCCAGCTTGAAGACAGCCTTCCCTATGGATAGTGATGTCCCAGAGCTACTCTTTCTCTACACTTTCTTGTGTGAGGGATGGCACTAAGATTTCTCTCAATTGTTCAGACTTGATTTTCACATAATTTTCAATTTCCTTCTCTGTCCAATATCCATTTTCAGTCACTTAGCAGGTATCTTCTTTCTTTTTTGGTTACTGTTGCCCTTGTTCAGTCCTTGACACCATTCTTTCTTTTAGCAAATGTTTACAGAGCCAGGTGCGGTGCCAGGGTTTGGAGATCTAGGGCTAGGTGAGACATGGTTTTGGCCACGTGTGGTCTTTGACAGTCTGGTGATGGAGGCAGACCCACAGATTGACATATTGTGTGAGAAGGTTGCCATAAAGGAATGAGCCTTGGAAGCAGAGAGCAGTGAGTTATCCTGTTGGGGAGGATTTTGAAATCTAGTATTTGGGCCTGATTTTATTGACAGCCCTTCAATCCCCCGCCCGCCTATTGAGGAAATGGTTAACATAATTTCATGCTTCAAAGAAATCTAATAGTAGAGTACAGACAAAAGACAAGCAGGTATGTTTGTCTTCCTTAGCATGAGCAGTTTTAGTAGAGGTGGGGTTAGGGAGGGCCCGTTGACAGTAATGGGGTGCATTCTGTTCAGCCTCTAGGCGTTCTTGGCTAACCTATTACTAGATGAACTTTCAGAAAGCACAGCTCTGAGCATGCTACCTGCTCAAACCCTTAAGAGCTTCTCAGAACCTTCCACAACTTTTTCTCAGCTTATCTTCTCCTGCAATCCACCTACACCTCCCCTACGCTGCATCACAGCTGCACTACACTCTTCCTGAACATGCCTTCCGTTTCCCCACACCCACCTCTCATTCCTGAGATGCCTTTCCTTGAGCTGTTTCATTTGCCCAGCACACACATTCTCCGTATCCTTCATATCCTCTCAAATGGCACCTCCCTCATAAAGCAACCTCAGTTTTATTTCAATGGCCATACTTCTTCCTTCCCTGAATCTCCCTTTTCCGTTGGGAGGACCACTCTTTGGGACCTCATCTCAGGAGTCACTGTTTCTGGTCTTGTCCCAGGCCCTTCATATCACGGAAGCTTCTCAAAACCAACAGCCTTTGACTCCTACAACTCCTGGCCCAATGCGTCACACTTAAGCCCTCAGTGGTGTTTAATTGAGTGTCACTCAACTCTTAGGAAGCACTTACTTCCCGTGAGTGTCTTCTCAGGGGGGCTGTCCTCTTATCTGATAGCTTTGCTTCTCCCTTGGTCAGCTCAGTATTTGGAAATGTAGCTATCCTACCAAAAAGCTATTCCCAAAATACTGTTGAAACACAAAGGCGGTATCCCATTTGAACTTCCTGCTGTTGCCTGTAATCCAGAACCTTCCAGTTAGACCCAGGCATTTGACAGTTTGTATCAGTTACTCCAGAGAGTATTGGTTTTTTCTCAGAGATGACCTTTATGAAGTTCTTCAGTGATAGAGCTGTTTTGATTTGCTTTTTTCTCTAATTAACTTCAGCTTAATGGTCTCATGGAAATTGGGCCACCCTGTGTGAAGGAGGGTGTGCACCGTTAAAATGTTGACTGATGTGGGAGAGTTTTGAGGGTGGGGCATTCTCTATATAATCCATAAACTTTCTGAATATGAACAAAATGGATTTAATCTCTTCCTCCCTCATTTCCCCCACCTTTCTGTCTAGCTTTTATAAGAAGGCCTTCCAAAGTCCTTTCCCCTCCTTCCCTGTTCTCCTGCCCTTCCCATCTTGGCACCTCTGTGCCTTGTGCTTTTTCCCGTGAGAAGTCACCTTTTGCTCCTGGTGGACAGGCATGTAAGCATTCATTAATCTATTTGGGACAGCCATTGGGATATGAGTGTGATGTATGTGCTTGGTTCATTGATTCGAAGAGTTTCATTTGGACAATTTTTGCTCTTCATAAGATTTGGTCATTTATTATATTCTGGTTACTGTTTTGGTAATGTATTTTGAAATTATTCTTTAGTATTTATATGTACTGTTCTTGCCTTTCAGTTTACTCTATCCCAATCAGAGATAATTGTAACTGGGCATCAGAAGTGATTCAGCAAACACTTGTTGCTTTGATTTAATATTTTGCTGACAAAAAACACATTTTAAAAAAGTATCCTAAAAATAAGAGGATAAACTTCCATAATGATATATTATTTATAAAGATATAAATTGCTAGAGTATTTAAGTAGAATGGTTTTTAAACATGAAATAACTTTATATCATAATATATGCATCTGATCGAGAATCCTAGAGCCTCTTGTTAGAGGTGGAAAACTGTCCCTTTGTCATAATGATTGCGTTTGATTGTGACATCTGATCCCAAACAGTTCTGATTTCCTATCCTCAGAGGAAGCCTTTGACAAGTTGCCTCAGTCCACCGTTCCTGAGATGCAGCGGAGCAACTTGGCCCCTGTCATCCTGCAGCTGAAAGCACTGGGCATTGACAACGTCCTCAGGTTCCACTTCATGTCGGTGAGTGCTGCCTCTGTCTGCGGCCAGGGAGGCTGGAGGGCTCGCAGGAGAATGTCAGGACATTGTTATAGGGCATGTCAGCTTTCTTTCTCTCTTTCTCTCTTTCCTTCTCTCTCTCTCTCTCTCTCTCTCTCTCTCTCTCTCTCTCTCTCTCTCTCTCTGTCTCTCTCTCCCCCCCCCCCCCTTTCTTCATCTTTCTTTCTCCTTTCCTTTCCATTTCCTTTCTATTTAGCTCCTATATTGTGTGCTTGCTTTGTACCAGGCCTTGTGCAGACTTCAGGGGGAATACAGCCAGATCAGTTCCCGTCCTTGTCCACTGGGGAACAGAGACAAGTAATGAGTTATTACAGTGTGTGTGCCCAGTGCTGGGAGAGACAAAGGCAGGCCCTCCAACCCAGTTAGTCATGCCTGTGGTGAGATGTGAAACTCATGGGATTTCACCAGCTCGGGAGGGGCAGAGAGATGTTTTAGGCCTGCATGTGAGAGTATTATGATTAGGGGTGTCAAGAAGGCCTTGGTAGAGCTGCAGGGAAGGGTCTTGTGGCTGATTGCATCTCTGCTTATTGCCCAAGGCAGGTTTCCAGGTGTGAAATTTTTGGGTCAGAGAGCCATAGTCCTTTTGCAGGTCCTTGACATGGGGCCAAGTTGCTTTACCGGTATAAACTCCAGCAGCACAGGAATGCCCTACTCATTGTGCCCCTACTATATTACCTTAATTTCTTTTAGCATTTCGCTAGTTTGATTAATGGTTGGGAAGGAGAAAGAAGTAGAAAAACTACCATCTGTATCTTATTATTTTGTTTTTCATAAGGTAGTTTTAAAAAAAAAAAGTTTACTGTATGCTTTATACTTTTATGTTGTTAAGCCATTTATCTCTTAGAATTAGTGTTTATTAGTATATTTCAGGAGTCCTTTAACTATTAAAAAATTTTAATCTTTGTCCACAGTATTTCTTACAGATTTCTAGTTACTTGAATTTTACGTTTTTAAGTTTATTATTGTTTTTTAATGTGCATACATTCTAAACATTTCCACAGTAAAGTCTTTCTGTCTTTGCCTCTGTGGCTTCTGTTATTGTGCTTATGAAACTTCCTCATATCTAGGTCAGTTAGTTCATAAATATTCACTCATATTTTCTTCTTGCATTTTTATCATTTGAAGACTTGCATTTTAACTCTTTGTTCTGTCCCAGCTGTATTGTTAAGTGGTATAGCAGGTCTGGATTCTTGGATAATAAAATCCCTAATGTCACATAAACTAGGCAAATGAATAGAAAAATAGCACTTTTCCTCCCAAAGGAAGTAATTGTGAAGAAAATGAACCTTTTGTTTATTGGTGTATAGTATAAGAAATTATAAAGAAAAGATGAAAAGTAAATGCAAATTAAAAGCTATTAAAAACTCACATCTAAGATTAAAGGAAAACAACATGACAACACTGATAGATCAACATCTCAGTAACTACACCATTTAGAATAAATCTAACGTCCACTGAAGAAAAAAGCTCAAGGAAAGGAAACAGCACAAACAGTAAACTAATGTCAGAACATGTTCGGCTTTTCTAGAAGAAAGAGAAGTGCAAATTGAAATAATTGTAAAGTTCACTTTAAGTTAGTTAAATGATCAAACACAAGGAGAGATGGGAAGAGCCAGAGCTGACCTAGTTTGGGAAAGTGTTCCATCTCTTGTTTCAGTCCTCACAGAGGCCTTCCTGACATTATTTTATGAGCCAGAGCAAGGCCTGATATTTTCTCAGGGAACTTTTTCCTGAAAGAAAGTTTCAAAAAAAAGACAAAAAAGCCCATGTATTATAATATTTACAGCATCACTTTGTATTAGATTAAAAAATATAAGTGATGAAATCCATAAACTTAGGACAACTGAGAAATGAGGAAAATACATACAAATTCATTTTCATGTAGCCCCTTCCCATTATTTCCCCTGAAATGGTGTTTTCACCATTGTACTTCATTATCGAAATCACAGGGTTCATATAATTTTGTATATTTTGCTGTGATAATTACAGTAGCAAAGAACTGAAAACAGCTTAGTTGCCCAGGAATAAGAAAATTCCATATTTTACAGAATATGCATGACCTCGTTGGAATGTAACTCAGCTCTCCCAAGTACTCATTGAAGTTCCTTTGGGTACAAGAAACAATGAAAACAGAAAACCAAACAGTGAGGAAAAACAGCTAAAATTATACATACCTAGTCCTTCCAACTATGTTAAAACTGTTTGCATATGATCCCAAATCAGATGAGACCATAGAGAAATGCTGGTAACTGTAGTAAATGTGTATTTAGGTGAAAATACTGTGGCTGTGCTTTGGGGGAGAGGAGAGAGATTTTGTTCTTTTTTGTTGATGATAAATTCAAAGAGCAGAATGAAAAGGTGACTTGGTGAATGACTAGAAATGGGGTCAAGGATTGGAAGGACTTACAGAGGACCTCGTTAGTTTTGTTCTGCAAGTATTTAAAACCTAGTTCAGTGCTTTGCTATTCCTGTTGTCAGCTCTTAGTAATCTCAGGGTAAAGATCCCAGAGAGATTAGGCCCCTCCACTCAGATGCTGTGTATTTGCCTCTGTTGTCAAGTCAGATGTCAGAGGCACTGAGGAAAGGCTAGTGAGTCAATTTCATGATCTAGTCAACCATGATTTGTGGAATGTCCTCTGTACAATGAATTAGGTCTAATTCTTACCCTTATAAGTGTGTGTGTACAGTCATCACAAGTTTTTAAAGTACAACTTTGTTTCTTGGCTGTCAGTGAGTGGGGTGGAGTAAAAAAAAAAATGATTCCTGGCCAAAACCGGTTTGGCTCAATGGATAGAGCATCGGTCTGCAGACTGAAAGGTCCCGGGTTCGATTCCGGTCAAGGGCATGTACCTTGGTTGCAGGCACCTTTCCAGTAGGGGGTGTGCAAGAGGCAGCTGATCGATGATTCTCTCTCATCGATGTTTCTAACTCTCTATCCCTCTCTCTTCCTCTCTGTAAAAAATCAATAAAATATATTTAAAAAAAAAAAATGAGTCCTGGATTCAGTTTCTGGCTTTGCCATCCATCAGCTGCCTACTTGACCCTGTTCAAATGTCTTTTACTTATTTTACTTTCTTCATTTGTAAATTGAACTAAAACAGTGTGATACTTAAAATATGTTTGTTATGTGAATGCATTTAGACCAGCTGGCCAGTGTTGCTCAGCGGTTCAATGTCAACCTATGAACCAGGAGGTTATGGTCCCATTCCAGTCAGGGCTCGATCCCAGGGGGTATGCAGAAGGCATCCAATCGATGATTCATTATTGTTTCTCTCTCCCTTTCCTTTTGTCTCTCTGAAATCAATAAAAACATTTAAAAAATAAAGACACACAGTTTGAAAACTATTATAATTTTATTTTCTGGCTTATTATCAATGAAGTCATTTAGCAGTAAATAGTAATAGTGCTTGGCAGTTAGTAGATGCTCAGTAAAGATTTCTGGAAGGAAAGAAGGTGAAGATCTAGAGAATCAGACTGAAGGTCACAATATTACTAGTAGCTTTGCTTAACTTTAAGTTATCTGGCATTCTGTATTATTTTCAGGACTTCAAATTCAACCGCATGTCAGTTACCACTTAAAGGCAAGGATTGGCTGAAACCGGTTTGGCTCGATGGATAGAGCATCGGTCTGTGGACTGAAAAGTCCCAGGTTCGATTCTGGGCAAGGGCAGTTGGTCGATATTTCTCTCATCGATGTTTCTTAGCTCTCTATCCTTCTCCCTTCCACTCTGTAAAAAAAAAAAAAAAAAATCAATAAAATATATTTAAAAAAATAAAATAAAGGCAAGGCTTGGAGTGGGCTCCGGGTGATGCAAAGTATTGCAGTATCACGGGTAGTAGAAGATTGAGAGTAGGCAGTGAAAATTAGAACTGTCTGATGTGAGTTTAGGAAAAACAAGGAAGTAGTTCAAGGCAGTCCACTTCTGATAGAGGGGAACATGAGGCCTCCATGGGAAATGTTTAATCTAGCTGAGATGAAAGACTAAGTATTAAGGATGCTGAAATGTATAGGAAGCACATATTAAGAGGCGCCAGCATTATGTATAGGAGCATGGAGGTGAAATATGGGCCACGTGGAGGCGAGAATGGATTTGATCTGGAAATAGTCACATTTTTATGTCTGTCACCTGAAAAAATTAATTAATTTTTATATATTTTTTACAGCCCCCTCCAGCACAGTCGATGGTTCAAGCACTGGAGTTACTCTATGCCCTGGGAGGTATGCCTGTCTATTATTGCTAGTATATGTTCTCTGATTTGTTCACTAATATGTGATGTTAGGTTGTATTCATTTAGGGTTCTTAGTATCTTTAGGAATGGCATTGGTTCTCCCCACAAAAATAATCCTCTTAAGGATTCTTAAGCTTTATAGAAATAGGAAGGTGTGATTAATGGTATATGACGTCTACTCCTGACAATGAATTAATGAAGTATATCAGTACATCAGAAGCTATTCATAACCGTCAGCAGAGCCAAACCCCCTCCTAAGGACATCCAGAAGATTCTATACCAGTATTTCCGGTGTCACCTCTCCAGACCTTTATCTCTGTCCCTCCCCCAATCCTGAAGTCTGTGGCTCAGCGTTCCCTGTGGAGATTTGGGTAGCATCTAGCCTGGGTAAGGAAACACCATGTTATGGGGGAATCTGTATTCTCTTGTTTGAAAATGTAGTATTTTACTTAAGAGTGAGAAAATTGTCACCTAAATTCACCCCCTCCGGAAATATGTATTTTTTTCTGTGAATGTTGCCCCAAGTGAATATAATATCCATTTTAGTAATATGTTTCAGTGGAGGTTTTAGATGATTTTTTTGCTTTTAACATTTTTATTGAGATGTAAGTTACCCATTTAAAATGTACAATTCAGTGGTTTTTAGTATATTCACAATGTTGTGCAACCTTGCCACAAGTTTAGAATATTTAGAACATTTTTATCGCTGCAGAAAGAAATCTGTACCCATCGTCACTCACTCCTCATTCCCTTGTCCCTTCTCCTCCCAGCCTGGGTCCCGCTAATCCACTTTCTATCTTTTCTTTTTTTTTTTAATCATTTGTCACTATTCAGTATTCCTGTGAACAATGTTTTTTTGTTTGTTTGTTTGTTTTGTTTATTGATTTTTTACAGAGAGGAAGAGAGAGAGACAGAGAGTTAGAAACATCAATGAGAGAGAATCATCAATCAGCTGCCTCTTGCACACCCCCTACTGGGGATGTGCCCGCAACCAAGGTACGTACCCTTGACCGGAATCAAACCTGGGACCTTTCAGTCTACAGGCCGACGCTCTATCCACTGAGCCAAACCAATTTCGGCTAATCTACTTTTTATGTCTATAGATTTGCCTATTCTGGACATTTCATACAAATGGAATCATATAATATGTGGTCTTTTGTGATTGGCTTCTTTCATTCAGCATGTTTTCAGGATTTATCTATGTTGGAGCAGATATTAATACGTCGTTTCTTTTTATTGCTGAATACTATTCCATTGTATGGATATACTACACATTATTCTCACCTACTCATCAGTTGATGGATATTTGGGTTGGTTTCCTCATTTTGGCTAATATACATAATGCTGCTATAAACATTTGTATACAAGATTTTGGTGGATATCCACCAGCAATGTATGGTTTCCCTGAAAAATAAGACAGTGTCTTATATTAATTTTTTCTCCCAAAGTTGCGCTAGGTCTTATTTTCAGGGGATGTCTTATCTTTCCATGCGCTAGGTCTTATTTTCGGAGGATGTCTTATTTTCGGGGAAACACGGTAGTTTCCAATTTCTCCACATAATAAAAAGTTGCTAATACTCTTTTTATTATTTGTCTTTCATATTATAGCCATCCTAGTGGATAGGAAGTGGTATCTTGGGTTTGATTTGCATTTCCCTAATGACTAATGGTGTTGAGCAACTTTGTTGGAGAAATTCTTTGCCCATGTTTAATTTTGGGGAATTGTCGTTTTATTATTGAGTTGAAGGAGTTCTTTATATAGTGTGGGTACACATTTCTTCTCATGTCGATGTGATTTGTAAATATTTCTCCCATTCTGTGGGTTGGCTTTTCACTCCCCCCCCCCCCCTTCCTTCTTAAATATATTGCCATTGATTTCAGAGAGGAAGGGAGAGGAAGAGAGAGACAGAAACATCAGTGATGAGAGAGAACCATTGATTAGCTGCCTCCTTCACACCCCCCACTGGGGATCGAGCCCACAACCCGGACATGTGTTCCTGACCGGAATCAAACCTGGGACCCTTCAGTCCGAAGGTCGATGCTCCGTCCACTGAGCCAAGCCAGCCAGGGCTGGCTTTTCACTTTTTGCAGTACAAAAGTTTTAAGTTTTTTGTTTGTTTGTTAATCCTCATTGGAGGATATTTTTTTCCATTGATTTTTAGAGAGAATGGTGTGGAGGGAAGAGGGGTTTGAGGGTGGGGGAAGAGAGAGGGAGAGAGAGAGAGAGAGAGAGAGAGAGAGAAATAGTGATATGAGAGGGATAGTTAAATATATCGGTTGGTTATATATCCCACACACGCCCCAACTGCAACCCAGGCATGTGCCCTTAAGCGGGAATCAAACCTGTGACTTCTTGATTCACAGGCCGAGGCTGTAACCACTTTTCCACATCAGCCCGGGCAAAAGTTTTAAGTAATTCAATTGTCACTTATGGTGTCATAGCTAAGAAACCATTGCCTAACCCACTGGCATGAAAATTTTTTCCCTAGGTCTTTTTTTGAAGCATTTTAAAAATAATTTTAGTTCTGACATTTAGTGGGTTTATGATCCATTTTGTGTTAATTATTTGTAGGAGTTGAGGTAGGAGTCCATCTTCATTTATTATATTTATGATATTTCCCTGTGAAGGAATAACTAAATACTGATTTAAAGATCTTCAGTGATTTCAAAGGCCTTTAGGTGAGTCTACATCAAGTAGCCCCGAGTGAATATGTGCCAGGATAGGTTTCCATCTCCTGTTCTCCAGCTTGTAATAGGAACTTGTGAAAACAAAGTTTCCTGGCTTATCTGTAATGGGGATGGGGGAACGCTGAGTACATAGAAGCTTTTCATTTGGACTAATTGTCCTTCAATCAGCATGACATTTAAAATATTTTCTATTTCGTCACTGTCCTAAATTAACTGGAAAAGATAGAGGGAAACACCCAACTTAATTTAGTTTCAAGCTGAATTATCACCTTTAAAAAAGCATTTGTTTTAATGCTACACCTTGGGAATAGTCTAAACAATAGTCAAACAATAGTGCACGTTGTGGGCATTCAGTTTCTGGATATTGGCCAGTGGTAAAGAGGCAAGGAGGGCTGTAGGGAATGGAAGGAGTCTGTAGACTGCCCAGGAAGCAGCTGGATAAACAGCTCTGGTGTTGGCACCAAAGAGAGATCTGGGCAGGTGTTTAGATTCATAATCCCGACCTGTAATTGCTCACATAGTAAGGGAAGAACGGAGGGCATGGGATGTCATCCTGAGACATCTACCATGGGGCATGGAAGATCCAGAGGTGACAGGGAGCAGCAGGAGAGGTGCAGAGAAGAAAGGGTGGGGTGGGGGAAGGTGGGTACTGGGAGCCTGGGAATAATGTTTCCAAGGAGCTGTGGTCTACAGGGTCCAAGGCAGCTGTAGACCCTCCGGAAGCGCCTTTGTATTTCACACTGTGTGTTGGCTGGGCCCTGGTAAGAGCAGTCTGTGGAGAAAATGGGGCCAGAATGAGGCTGCTGTGGGCAAGGAGAGAATGGGAGCAAGAGGAGGCTGCAGGGCCATTTCCTTATAATGAAATCCTTGGATAGAAGTCATGAGAAGTATCAGTTTTTTTAAATTAAATATTCAAGAGCTCAAAGCAGATCTTTTCTTCTTCTAATGTAATGGTGCTCAGGTGTCAGATGGAGTGTAGTAATGCATGATTCATCCTTTGGATACCTTTTTTCAGCATACATCATCATCTTTTATTCTTCAATAACTGTATGTCTTTCAACACAACGGTACATGCCTTCTGATGGTTGTTCTCATGCAGGTCTGGACAAAGACTGTCGACTAACTGAACCCCTTGGCATGAGAATAGCAGAGTTTCCTTTGAATCCCATGTTTGCAAAAATGCTGCTTGAATCAGGTGGGTGGAGACCAACGGTTCTCATTGATTTTATTTTGTCTGTCAGAGGAGTTATTTCCCTGAATTCTATGCATCTTGGGGAAGAGGGTTCAATATATTCAGGGAGTAAAGGAGCTATTGATTAACGCTGCTGGGTGTGGGGCATGTTGCTCACTTGTGATTCAGTGTCAGTCTTGATTAATTCAGTAAGCACTTCTGTTTGTTTCCCATGAGCCTAGCGCAAACGCCTTTAGATTTTTTTTTTTTTTTAAACAGGGACATTATTGTGGTAAGAAATACATAAAAAACATAGTTTCAGCCACTTTTTAAGTGTATAGTTCTGTGGGGCATTAAGTATATTCACATTGTTGTTGAACCATCACCACTATTAATTTCCAGAATTTTTAATCTTTCCAAAATGAAACCGTGTACCTACAAGACACTAACTCCCCATTTTCTCCTCCTCCCCAGACCTTGCAATCACCATTCTACTTCTTGTCTCTGAATTTAGAAACCTCATATAAATAGAATCATATAATATTTGTTCTTTTGTGGCTGCCTTTTTTTCATTTGGTATGTCTTTAAGGTTCATCCATATTGTAGCATATGTCAAAATGTCCCTCCTTTTTAAGGCTGAATAATATTCTATTGTATATATAGATCACATTTCGTTTGCCCATTATCTGTTAGTGGACACTTAGAGAGCTTCCACCTTTGCTATTGTGAAGAATGCTGGGAACATGGGTATACAGATGTCTTCTCAAGTCCCTGCTTTCACTTATTTTGGGTATATATTTAGAGTGGAATTGCTGGATTATCTAATAATTCTATGTTTAAGTTTTTGAGGAATTACCATACCATTTTCCACAGCGGCTACACCATTTCCTATCCCCCCCACTAATGCACCACGGTTCCAACTTCTCACTTCTTTAGACTTCTGTGAGGATATAAATTAAGGGATAAAAGTGTATAATCTAAAGACCTTCTCATACTTAGAAACCAAAATCATCTAGAGAGCATAGTTTTCTTGGCCTGAGAAAGTAAATAAATGTTTTCTTAATTTTATCTAACTTTTACATTAGTTGGCAGTCTACAAAGTTGTATGTCAAACTAAACATGGTGAAAGTTAACTATAATTGTGTTTTGGAAAACCACGTGACCTTAGACTTATATTTAGCAACAGGATTCTGAGTTTGGAGTTGGGAGTGGGCCACTCATGAGGCAGGAAGCCGGGGGGCAGTGAGCAGGCAGTGCAGTTTGCTCTCACTGCCTGTGTCCTGGAGGGCTGATTGCTGCAGCCTCTGGTCTCAGGTGCCCGCAGCAGCAGCAACAGTAGCTGCAGCCCACAGAGTGCTTTCCTGGTCCAGTTTTCCAGATGCTAGAGCCTTACACACACGCCACCTCAGAGAAGGGTCCAGGAGCAGAAAAACAACAGAAGAGACACAACCACGTATTCCCTGCCCCCTTCCTCTCTCAGGCTTTCTGCCAGAATTCCAGGTGTCCACATAAGAGAGCTGGGAGCAGGTGTAGAGCTGACCGCCCTCCGTGGTGGGGCCAGTCCCGCTCCCATGGCTACAGGAGTATAACACTCCGTGTTACAGCTGCCGAGTTCATGAGCAGCTCCTTTCAGAGTCCTTCCAGGCCTCCAGGCATCAGGCCAGGTGTAGGACATTCCATTTGGCAGGGTGAAGCATTTATGAATTATAAACTTCAAGAATCAAGCTATATATGGATATATCTTAGTTTGCAGCATGGTACAAGGAAAACATCAGAAAATGTCTTTCATTTCTTGTTGACACATTGCATGTTTGAAATCAAAGGTGCTTTGTGTTTTATAGGAAAATTTGGCTGTTCTCAGGAAATTCTCAGCATTGCAGCCATGATGCAGATCCAGAATATCTTTGTGGTCCCCTCCAATCAAAAGTCTCAGGCAGTAAGTCCAGTGTTCTTTCTAAGCGGTTCATACCAGTGTCTTTGACTTTGGGCTTTCCTTATTAAAACGACTAGAAACTTCTGACAGCTGAGCTGTGCAAATCCCAGCTTGCATTTGAGTATTTGCTGTGTCCAGACATTTCCTGTGCACCCTTTCATTTTATCTTCACCGTAAACCATGAGGTAGATGCTGTTAGAATCATGTTTAGAGATGGAGCCACAGGAAGGTTAGGTGACTCACTCATGGTTGCACAGCCAGGGTGGAGTTGTCTTGCACAGTCCAGAGCCGCAAGTCTTAACCATTGTCCTACTGACTTTCCCGTAAGGAAACTTGTCCTTTAGGCTGTTCTGGGAGCAGATGAGTGGGCACATTAGTGACGTAAGGAGTCAGTTCCCAGGCCCAGCAGAATGATTCTGGTCATCAGGAATGACAAGGCCCTGCCTGGGCCCAGGCACCATTGACTGAAAACATGAATGTTGGAAAGACTGTGAAGGAAAGTTGTGATACTGAGGAGCGCCATGCAGGTGAGGCATATGATGGAGGCAGTTCAGTGATGAGTTCAAAAGTTGGCTGCTGTTGGAAGAGTCAGAGAAGCAGCAACCTTCTGCGTGGAGAGGCTGCCTTTGGATGTGTAGTTGGGAGGAGAGACCTTTCTTATGGATTCTTGTCATTTTCCATAGATTATCATAGTCATATAACATAGATTTCAAAGCTTTCCTGCTTCCATGCCCAGGTGGTTTTTGCTGTTTTGTCCATTTTCTGTTTATTTGCTTCTCTATTAGCTTTTTTTTAACAATCCTACCTGAGGATAGGCAAACTCGTTTTCAAGATGAAGAAACAGAAGTTCTGATCAATCTGTATAAATTACAACATATTTCCCCTTCCCTTTATATTCCATTCCCTGCTTTATTTTTCCCCTCTAATACTTCTTGCCTCCTCATATAAAAAATATTTTGCTTATTTATCTTATTATATTTTTCTCACCACCATATTATTTGCTGTTATATCCCAGATTCATAGAACGGTGCCTAGCCTATAGTAGGTGCTCAGTAAATATCTGTTATTGAATGAATGGAAGGAAGGAGGAAGATTAATTATGTAGTGTTTGGTGCAAGGAGAAAATGCTCAAGTGAATAAGTATTAGTGTACTTGTATTGTATGTGCTGCTCCTTGAATCCATGGGAGCAGATGGCATTGCCCAGGATGTTACAGAAGGAAAACCTTAGGGATGGGGTATGAGCCGTAGCCTAGAAATGTGAGTGTCTACTATGTGCCAGACAGTTGGCCCCTGCCCTCCCGGAGCTTACATCCATTACGGGCTGGGAGGAGTTCTGAAAGAGATGATATTGCCTGCATAGAGGAGGAGAGAGACAAGAGCACTAGCATTTATTTAATAACCATATTAGGTACTTCACTATGAATTATCTCAATTCCACAGCGAGCTTAGTAGATAGGCTTCATATCCTGATTTTACAGATAAGGAAATTAAGGCCGAGAAAGGTTAAGTAACCAAACTGAGGTCTTTCGGGAAATGGCGGGGCTAGAATGGTGCAAACCAGGTCTTTCTGGCTCTACAAGCCATGAGCCATTCATTGTATGTCGAATGAGCCAGTATGAGAGGCTCCCAGGAGTCAACTTCTAAATGTATTTTTCTTTCCAGATTCGAGTGCACCGGAAGTTTGCTGTGGAGGAAGGTGACCACCTCACTATGCTCAACGTGTTCGAGGCATTTATCAAAGTAAGCACAGCTCCTCCTTGAAAGGCCCCCTTCACACACCTGTTCGCTCCGGAGCCCAAGTCCGGAAGTTCGGTTCATGAAGGAATGGCCAAGAGGCCTTTTGGCTTTCCAGTTAGATATGGCCAGTATTCCAAACCGTGTGGGCCCCTGCCTGAGATGGTGATGCAGTTTTCCTGAAAGAACACAGGAATCTCACTCCTCTCTGCCTAGAGGTGAAGCCTAAGGCAGCAGGTTGTCGGCTCAGCCCTCCTGGCCCCTATCCCCTCACTCTTTCACCACCCAGCATTGCTGCACAACACGGCCGGCATTTGAATAGGAACTTCTGTGACATTTTCCGTAAATGAGTGAGGCTAGGTGTACTTATAGGTTTAGTTGACTCTTCAGAGCTGTTTATGTGAGTTCGAGACTGCACACAGGACCTCTCCTCAGCAGCAGATAAACTGTGAGACTGTGAGAAGACATGTATGTGAGGATCCATGTATATTCACGTACCGTACCTGTACTTAGCCTTAAGTGATGTTCATCTTTATTGTTCTTAATATTCTATGGAAATAAGAGCAAATAATGTAGCTTAAAGTTATCACCAAAAATTACTAAAAAGAGAGATCTCAAGATGATGAAGGCAATGAAAATAGAAACCTCTCATATAAAGGAAAGGATGGATGTAAGGGATGACGAGGAATTTCAAATTTTCAGTATCTTGCATTCATTTTTTAAATACTTTTTTAGCTGAAGAGAAACACTAACTTTTTGTGTTATCAGAAATAACTGAAGGGAGATTATTCAGTTTTCAGAAAAAAACTTGGTCTCTTACTGAGATTATTAATCATGGATTAAATCAGTTCAGATTTGTTGTATATGCGCAGTATGTCATCCCCAACCTAAAGCTCCCTCTGCAGTGGAATGAAGGTACAGGTCTTCGTTGTGTTGTTCTGTGGCTGCTTTCTGGTAAATCATCTGTGTTTTCATTTTCTTATTTAAAATGCTTTCCTCGCTGGCTTATACTATAATTTCTGAGGTACAGTCTCTCAGCAATAATTGATCTAAGACATAATGATCATTCTTTAGAATATAGAACAGAATTAAGTTCTGTTGATAGAAAAATTGTACTTTCAGGATGAATAGTAGTAACTTGGAAATTATTTCTGAATTGACAAGTATCATATTGCCTGCCTGCAGTCCAATAAAGTGATAAATTCAAGCAGTGCCAACGAAGGAAGGAACGCTGATTTACAAAGAACCACAGGGAAGTGATTCTGTTTGGTAGTTTGCCACTCACGTAGGAAGGTATTTAAGATTGTCATTAAGATTGACAACTCTGCTTGTCATTAAGATCTCATTTGCCCTTTAAGCAGAGAGTGAGATCAAAGAGCAGTGAGATGGTGAGCTTGCCAGCATCTCTCTCAAAAAAGGGCCAGTTATGGTCTGAAGATCTTGCCCCACGGAGTGAGCAAATGCAGGAAGAGAAAAGGAGGATTTTTACAGTCTAGTTGTAGTCAAGAACCTGTCTGTGGTTTCCTCACTCTCCCCCTTTCTGGATTATTTTGTAGCACAACAAGAACTCTCAGTGGTGTCAGGAACATTTCCTGAATTACAAGGGTCTTGTCAGAGCTGCGACAGTAAGAGAACAGTTGAAAAAGCTTCTTGTCAAGTTCCAAGTGCCCAAGATATCGAGTGAAGGTAAGAGTCAGCTGCCACTGCTGGAGATGCTCCTTGCTTTGCTCGGTGTAGCTGCACTGTTAGGATCTCATGCCGGGGTGTGGTGTGAGGCTGCGCAGTGTGTTCTGGACCTGAGTTGATGAAAAGCTGTGGGTAAAAGTAGTATATTTTTTCTAAGGAGGTCCATTTTTATGTCCGAGGGTTATTGTTAAAAAATTTTCATAAGCCTTGAGAACACTTAAGAATCATTAACCTTCAGATCATTGCACATTCTATAGTTAATTTTCCCATGGAGGCTTTGTAAGAAAAACTACTGTGACATATAAATTACATTTTACTTTCACATACAGATATTTTTACAGCAAGTGCTGTGTGTTTAACCTGGGCCGTCACCAGGGTGAGACGGAAGCGCTGTGTAAGGCACGATCTCTGGCCTCTGAAGTGGGGACACACTAGTTGCCTTACACTGTGACAGAGGTGCTACAGTTCTCTCGTCCTCCCTCTCTGGGAGGTGTGGGGTTATCACCCACACTTTATATCACAGATGAGATGTCCAGTCCTGGGGAGAAGTTAAGTTCAGAATGACACACTTGGCTACAGCAGGGGAGGTCTCTGAGTGGCTCAGAACTCACACTTCTGAGGAAGTGACACGTTTACTCCTCCATTCAGCAGTTGTTTTTGAATACCTACTGTGTGCCAGGCACTCTGGAGGTGTACTCTCAGCACCCTTAGTTCGTTCCTGTGATGGGCCAGGCAGTGTCCAGAGTGCTTTCATATATTAATTCGTTTAATGCTCACAACAATCCAGGTGTTATCTTCACTTTATGGATGAGAAAAATGAGGCCAGGAGGCAGCAATAACTTGGAGATTGAGTGCCTGGCACCTAGCAGAGAGGTGCAGTCTTTTGCGTGTGTGGTTCTTAACCTATTCTTCATTATTAACCCCTCTCCCAGGAGAAAAGTTAACGTTACATTCTTCCTAAGGAGAGAAATTAAACACTAAGGAATAAGATTTTGTAGGGAAGGATTGAACTTTGAGGGCCTTTAGTACTGTAATATCCAAGATTTCCTCCCACTTGCTCCCCAAGAACCATTTTTCACCCCTTTTGTTCTACATGGAAATTTCTCATGGCCAGTTGGAAAGAAGGGATTGCTTCTTGGGTCAGATTGTGGTTAAAGTTATAAATTTCTGATTCTTCAATTCTGGGATAAAAAGAAGAGGTACCTTGTGTCAAAACATTGCTGGTAAAAATGCAGCGAAACTGATATTCTCATACATTGTTGATGATTTTGTAAATTATACTACCTTTTGGGTACTTATTTTTCAGCAAACTATATTTCATTGAATCTAAATGCTATCATGAATAAGGCATGCCATTATTTTATGTGCCACTAAAAAGAGTGAGTCTTAGAATTGAGGAAATATGGTATGTCATTAGACACATAAAGGACACTTTGCACAAAAATTGGGAATGTATCCTTTGGGAATCATCTAATAAATGGAAGTCTTTATCCTTGGAGGATGTTTACTGTAGCAATACAGACACCCATTCAAATGGAACATTTGAAAATTGTGAAGAATTACACACTGTGGCTTATAACCACAGAAATAATATAGGGTGGGTGTCCCAGTTTGTGTCTTATGGGAGGAACATTTCCACAAGATGCTCTCCTAGAAAGGAGCTCCTGAGGTCCCTGGCCAGCCAGTAGAATGCTCTCTGAAGTTCTGGTGCCCGGCCGTGGTCTGGGCAGCTGTGGCCCCGGACGGTTTGGGTCCCAAGTCAAAGGCACAGCACAGTTCATGTTTCTCTCAGCAGCCATTGCAGGTTGCAAGGTGGCTGGAAGCAGCCTGGGGTGGGCCTTGCGGCACAGGTCTGAGCACACAGACTATACAGAAGCAAGGGTCTCATCCATCCTTCTGTTGGCTGCTTTGTGTAGGTGATCCAGATCCAGTTCTGAGGTGCATCGTTTCGGGATTCTTTGCCAATGCAGCGAGATTTCATTCTACTGGAGCTTATAGGTAACGTGATACTTTATAAAGTCATTTATTAAAGGAGAAATCTTAAAAATGTCCAGAACGCATAGAATGCTGCTGTACAGAAAAAGGAGAGAAGTTATTTGTATCGTGCCTCTATCCAACGGTGAGCTGAGGTTAGCTATATAGCTTTAAGCAAAGTCTCTTAACTTTATGGAAATGATTCTCAAATATTCAGTCCATCCACATGGTGTAGAACGATGACAATTTACAGGAGGCTGGTCACATTTCCATTCCAATAGTAGAATACTAGGACCAGAAGGAACTGTTAAAGATGCTCTTTGCTAGGGGAGTTACTTTTGTCACTGGGTAGCTCAGATAATTTTAGAGAATCGCAGGATTGAAGCTACCATCTACCCCAGTGCATTGTGGCCACATTGGGGTCTTTGGATGTTGGCCAGTGTTTCTTTATGTGCTGGACCTACCCTCCCCCCCCCCCCCTGCCCTGAGACTACAGCCTGCCATTTCCAGTTCCATTTTCTAGGCAAAGAATATCACTGGAGGTTGATGCCCCCCTAACAGCCTTTAGTATATTAAATATAGTAAAAGCTAATGTGTAGCTTAACTTTTTCTCCAAACTTAATCATTCCACTTTGAATTGTTCCTTTTAGTCTGTCTTTTCTCTCGGTTCATTTTAGTCTCATAACTTCACTGTAGCCTGTTTAAAGTGCAGCGATCATAACAACCTGTTACTTAATAAGGGAGCAGTCAAAAGGCTCTCTCCCAGCTCTTCTTTGCGCTCCTTTAATCATTTGTCATAAACTTTTTCCCTCAGAAGACATTTCAGTTCTGCTACCTTGAGGTCAGCTGTGATGCCTGGACACTGGGCTTTATTAACAAGTCCAGGGCCACACTGGACTGTTTTTTTTTTTGGGGGGGGGGGAAGGGGAAGGGGACGGGGACCAGGTCTCCATCTAGCATCTGTTTGAACCTAAGTGTAGCACGTTACATTGATCTCTGCTGTGTTCTTTTTGCCACTCCAGGCCAAGTAGTCTAGCCCATCAGTATCTTGACTCTTTGCCCATGTAGGAGCCCCCTCCCAACGCTGAGCTGTCCATGTTGGAAGCTACGCTGAGAGGCCTGTGATCCTCTCCAGTGAGCACCGGTACTTCGTTGTCACCCCATTCTCCTCAGCAATACTAATTAGCAGTTTCTAGTAGCATTTAAAAGAATGCTCCGGTGTCCTCAACAGAAATATGGGTTACATAGGAGGCTTCACAGTCCGTGAGTCCCTTTGCGATGAAGTTCAGTGTCTGTCAGCTCAGACTGCCTGGTAGGACAGCTAGGACCCAGGTCCTGGAGGGGAGCTCCGCATGGCACTTGAGATACTTGCCTGACACACAGATCCCTGGCACCTATAGAAACTCTATAATTATGGTTTGGGCAGTGGCATCCTAATCTACGAATGTGTGAATGCTCCCTTGTGATCTGATCTTATTGATAGTTGTGTGCTCAGTAAGGTTTTTTAAATTAATTGAGTCAAATCTGAGTTGAAATTTGAAATATTTTCTCAGCAAAATGGGTACTTCAATATTGAGCTTTCTTGGTTCCTTATTATTATCTATCCCATAGTCTTTAGTATTTAGTTTTGTTTAATAGAAATGATAACATATTATTTGTTTCCAAGGAAATGATTTTGAAAGAGAACCTACAAATGACAAACATAAGCACTGGCAGAGCCATATGTTTCCAAACTTCTTTTCTGAATGATAATGTGTTGCTTTTCTTTTCTTCCCTTGTTTGCATTACTTATTCTTGACTTTCTGGGTGGCAGTGGGGGAGGGGCCTTTGAAGGGCGTAAGAAAAGATGGAGAGAGTTTTGTTTCTGTGAGATGCAATCTGCATGCATTTTTAATAATATTAAACACGTCTCAGAGAGTATAATGTGCTTCAGATAAAATTCTTCTGTTTTATAAGGACCATCCGTGACGATCATGAACTACACATCCACCCCTCGTCAGTCCTCTATGCAGAGAAGCCCCCTCGCTGGTAAGCCACCCTCCTGCTTGTAGCCATGTAATGTGTCGAAGGAAAGGCCCAGTTCTGTTTGTCTCTGGGCCCCTATTGCCTGGCACAGCACCTGGGACAGGTGCCTAGGACACTTTGCTATTTACTTTGTTATACTGGGTCGTTGATAGAATTTCTGCTCTATCAGAGAGCCCCTTAACAAATGGTGATGATCATGTACTCACTCATCCATTCAGCAAACATACTAACCCCTGCACTGAGCATAGCCTTGTGGAGATGAATTCAGGTCCAGGTGAATTTATAGTGACCTTGGAGAGAGAGACACCACAGATTTCAATGTCTTTGATAGAGGGGTGTATAAGAGTTGAGGTTGGCACCTCCTGTACCAAGGAGAGTCAGGGATGGCTGAGATGTTTCAGAAATCATGTAGAACCCAAGTATCATCTGTGAAATGGACACTTTTATTCGCAGTGCATTTGTGAATGCAGTGCCTGGCACACAGAATACACATGTAGTAAAGATGGCCAGCTCTAATGGTGATTTTTGACTCGCATCCACAGATATAGGAAATTAGCTCATGTGTCTTTCTTGTTTCAGGGTTATCTACAATGAAGTTATACAAACCTCCAAGTATTATATGAGAGATGTCACTGCTATTGAGTCTGCTTGGCTGTTGGAGCTGGCTCCACACTTTTATCAACAAGGAACGGTAGGAACGAACAGAATCTGTCCCCCCAAACTGCCTGTTAACCTGCCTCTTCATATTTTTAAACACACGCTCACTCCCCAGGTCACTGCCTGAAATTATCCCCCAAATAGCACATAAGGTGAAATGGCCATTACCATATCCTCTGACCATTCTGGGTAAAAGTACTTGCTTATAGTTTAATGTCACTGAGGCTTGATTTTAGTCTTTCGTAGGACTGGTCTGAAGTAGCCATACTCCCATGACATGATGGCCTTTTTTGCTGTCTCAACTGAATGCCTAGGGTATTTAATGAGGTCTTTGCACTCTGGTCAGAACTCCAGTGTCTCCACACTGTACAGACCTCCAGGCTCTCCCAGTCAGCTCACACCGCCCCAGCTACTTTTGTTGGCCAGTCTTATTGAATCTGGGCTTGCACATGTGCAGCTTAGTTCTCAGCCAAAGACTGAAGGGCGGCCCCATAGAGATTGCTGGAGCTGTTCCTTTCTGTGAATTCCAGCTGCCTCGGGCTTCCTGAACTCTTCTGACCTGTTTCCTCTGTCCAGCATACCGCTCTCCGTTTGGGATGTGCTTCTGTGTGCCACGGTTTGCCGAGCCAGGCAGAGACCTGGGATGAGTATAGAGCGCGCCCTGAGTTTCCTCCTTCTGCGGGGTTGTAGCCCTGTGCTGTCTGTTGCCCAGTGCTGAAAACATTTGCATCAGATATTTTATCTGGTTTTTACCATCACTTACCTCAGAGGGAAGGTCCAAACCTGTAACTTCATCAGGGTTATAATCAGACTGCAGTGTTTTCAACCCTTCACTGGTACATTTAAAAATTGGGAGATTTCACATTAAATATAGATTTCATGTTCCTTTTTCTTTTTTAAAATCTTTATTGTTGAAAGTATTACATATGTCCCCCTTTTCCCTCATTGGCCTCTCCCAGCCTGCCCCCACCCTCTGCCCCAGGCCTTCACCCCCCTATTGTCTATATCCATGGAGAGGTGTATTAAAGTGAGGTTTCTCCTGAAAGAAGTGGGAGTGTCTGCTACATGGAGCTTGGTTTCTGCGTGGCAGCAGCACCGGGGCTGAAGCAGGACGGCCTGCATGAAGGGCCCTCCAGGCGTCCCAGCGCAGCCCTGGCTTCCCTTGTTCAGCTCCCGGGACATCTGAGTTGTGACCCTGCAAATGGGAGAATCGCATCCATCTCTCTTGCAATGTAAAGGGCACTTGTCTTTTTAACATTTTCTTACAATGTTTAAATCCTACCCAATCAAACAAAAAGCATTTCAAGCATCTCCTCATAAAGATATGTCAGTCCCAAATGAGACCAGCTCCAGGGACTGATAACAGCGCAGAATGTGTTGTCTCTGTATGTTGGGCTGACAAAATCGGATAAACTAAAGTGAAAGAAAGTATTTTCCTTTAAAACCTCTCGGGTGGAAAGGCCAAGAGAAGTGATTAAAAGGCAAAGAAGTTGGGAAGAATGGCCAGCCGTATAGGTGCTTGCTAAAGGAACGAGGTGCAGGCAGTTAGAGGAGGACCCTAAGAGGCAGGCTCCTGAGGAACAGAATTATCTAGAAGCTGAGTCGTTTTCTCTTCTCAGCTCAAAGATAGAGCTTCTTTAGGTCAAACCCACAAAGTTAAAGAGCAAATAGCCCCAGAAGTTTGAAGAAAATGACAACACACATTTCTGCATTTGTCTCTTCTCTCCAGATGCGTGCTTGTCATCTCGGCAGCTCTGCTCTGATCATTGTGTGATCAGTTATTTTTAGAGGGCCCGGGGCCCTTAGGAATCACCTGGTCCGCCAACCTTACAGTACAGGCGAGGCCCTGAAATTCGCCAAGAAGCACACCCCCTTTTAACTAGCCAGTCCAAAGGTACCGCTACTAACTTTTAGTCCGAAATGAATGGCTTTCTCCAAGAGCCCTCAGACCTCCAGTGGTGCCGGTGGATGGCAGGTGCGCCTGTTGAACGCAGCGCAGCGCCTCTGACGTGCCCGCTCTGCTCCTGGCACCTTAGGTGATTTCCATTCCCGCTGATTCTCAGTGTCACTCTCACCCTGTAGAGAGGCCTGAAATGGTCCGGAGTCGGCTTTGTTTAGACTCAGCATTCTTCCCAGAAACGAGCACCAAAAATGGTCCACAGGCACGGTGATGTCATCTCCCACCCCCGAGCTCAGGCTGGGAGTGTCTGAGGTTAGTTGTAGGGGTCACATCGAGTGAAGTGAGATCACTGAGAAACGTTCAACCAGACCCACAGCCAGGGCGAAAAACAGGGTGACCTGGTCAGAGATTTGCCTTTCAGTTTTCAGTCCTTACATTCCTCCCTCCCCCTCCCCCCCCTCCCCCCGATTCTTAGAAATAGCTTTGGAGTCTGGGGAAAACCTCTAAACCAGCACCTTTGCAAGAGCCTACACCGGTCCTTTCTTGGGCATAAGCAGTTAGAAATTCACACGTGTGTCCTGTCCACTCAGCCCTCTGTCGTGCTCGCTGGTGTACTGCCTTTGTTTCTATCTCTCCTTCTTCCTTCTTCTCTGAAATCAACAAAAATATATTTAAAAACAAACAACAAAAACACACGATACCTGACTAGTCAGGTGCACTGATAGTTTTCCCCTTAGAATAAAAAAATGAGCAGCCAACACAACGATAGCTGTCAGGTGCTAATGATTCAAAATTATACCTCTATTTTTGTCAGATCAGCAAAGATTATATTTTTTGGTATGCTGCAGAATTTCAGAGATGCAAAGGTACCAACCATGAGTTGCAAAGGTTGAAATTCGCTGCCTTAGAATGTAAAGGACGCTATCTCCATCAGTCCTCTTATCTGATGCCCATGGTTATAATATTATGCTTTCTGTGTTACTTGTACTGGTAAGGAGCAACATTTCTGAAGGAAAGCCTGTCACTAGGAGGTGCCCTTTTCCTGGGGCCTGGCCTGGATCATGGGTGCTGCACCTGAGACGCTCGGTAAAATGACGTGTCTCCTTGTTCCTTTGCCAGGAGAGATTACCTTTCTCTGGCCAATCTTAAGGAAGTCATGGACACGAGGTGGTGTCCAGCCTGAGCCGGTCCCTGGGCACAGGTGCTTGGCTGCAGTGCTGTGCTGAGGGCTGGCAGAGGGAGACCGAGTCTCATTGACAGCATCGCACAGCCTGTGCACCCAGGTAGGGCCCTGGCGGGCTGGGCCTCGGGCTGCGAGCTCACTGCAGGCGTTCCCTGCTCCCTCTTGCTCATGGTGCTCTTCTGAAGATGCCTGAGGGCACCGCACTAACCAAGAAGGTGCGAACCGGATGGAAGCTCTGATTTGGTTATTTCTATGGGCCTAGTTTTGAAGTCTGGTTTCTTTGTCTAACCAACCCCACTGACGAGGTTCTCTTTTCTCTTGCAGCACCTGTCCCTAAAAGCCAAAAGGGCAAAGGTCCAAGACCAGTGAGCAGAGCCGGGGCTCGGTGAGCTGTCCTTGGCTCGTGTGGACCTTCAGCTGCTCTGATGGGGCCGCCGCCCATTCCCAGGCCCCTCTCCCCCTCTCCTCAGCATTGCATTCCTCGCTGGGATCCCGGAGGAGTTGGCGTGGGCAGGCACCCTGCCCGGCTGCACCCAGGCAGAGTGGGGGGCTGGCAGGGCTTTGCTCTTTGGTCTCGGCACCCTCCCTGACCCAGCATGCCACTTCCAACAGGCACGCCGCCTGGCCCCCGCTTAATGGGGACCGGGGAGGAGGGAGCCGCTGCCGGCTGAGGCACCACGTCGAGTGCAGAGGGTCAGCTGGCCTGGCTTGGCTCTCCTGGGGGCCACGGCTGTGTTGGCTAGTGAGGGCCGCTGCCAGATGGGAATCTGTATCTGGAGGGAGAGACCCCGGAAACGCTGTGATTTCCCCCAAATCACCCAGGGCTTGGACCAAGCAGCTCTGGTTCCCCCTTTCGCGCACGTCCCTGTTGATCTACGGCCAGAAGACTCTCAGGATTGGTGATGACTCACAAGCACTGTTCTCCTTGGCAAACGGCTTCTGTTTCAGAGTGGGCCAGCTCTCCCCCTTATGACACCCCGTCCCCTGCCGCCAGCCGAGCGCTCGTGAACGCCCCCTAGCTCAGCCCCAGGGGCCCTCTGCGGCAGGAACGCCGCAGCGGAGAGGCTCCGCTTCTCTAGCTCAGGAACAGGACTTAGCGTTCGCTTTTGTTCATTTGCCGGGTTCTTGCGAGAACACGGGCGGCCCTGCCAGCAGGCTCTGGTTTCAGTGCCGCCCAGGCTTCTTTGCGGAGAGGTTGGCATTGCCAAACGTGACCTGGCCAGATGCGCTCACCTTGTTTCAGTGCCATTTAAGAACATGTAGTTTGAAAGTTTATTTTTGTACTGATCTTAGTATGTACCTGCCACTTTGGCACCAAACCTGTATGCCATTTTTATTTCCATTTTATAGGGATAACCTGTTAATAATAGTGAACCTTTATACCTAAAGTAAATGTATTCCCTCCCACCCTGGCTCTCAGGGTCTGTGTTCTAAGATTGTCCACTTCATTCTCCCGAGCGAGGGCCTGACATTGGCTGAGAAGCCTGAGGCCATGGCAGCAGCGGCGTCAGGGGTCAGGTAGACCAGAAAGCCCACCCAGCAAGGTCACATGACCACACGCCCTCAAGGCCTCTCTACAGCAAACCATGGAACTCGGTTTAAAAGAAGTCCCAGGGATTCTTGCCAGTGTTCACTGGGGTCTCCCTTTAGAGAGGTCTGAAGTACTTACTTGCAGATAGTCTGAATTTAGGGCCACGGTTGGTCCTCATAAGCTTCTGTTGGGGTGGAGGGAGGAGAGTGCAGGATCCACAGCCTCCGAGTGAGATCAGAGATCCAAAATGAGAGACCACAGTGGGGGGTGCAGCGTGGGGGAGCCCGCAGCACTGCCTGTGGGGGTCTGGTCCTGAGCGTGTCTGCCTGTGCCCACCTCTCAGCACTGCCCAGGGTGGGCACCTGAGCTGTGCTGTGCTGCAGTCCACAGTGGGCAGAGCACTCCTCACAGACGGAGACTCGCTGTAAAGCCACAGCCTTCACCGGCATCTGCAGAACCACACGTCTCGTCAAGGAGTGATATCCCCGCCTGGCTGAGAGACGAGACAATGGCCAGCAGGGCCTGATCACCTAGCAACTCACAAGACTGTCCCCAAGTGGTTCCACACGAATTAGTCCCCTCAGGCCCGGATTTTCAGAATGGTTAGTGAAATTTCTCCAATACTGCAGGGTCTTCTTGCACTGCGGGAGAGGTGGAGGGATGTGTGCGCTGGAGAGTGCTGTGGGCAGTGGGGTCCTGGAGGCTCAGAGTCGGGAGATTTCTGTGCTTGTGCTTCATGCCCTGAGGTTCTTTCCCAGGGCTGGTCTCCCAAGGAATCCTAGAGGCCAGCCAGGCCGCCTGCTGGGATGGGACTTGAAGACATGAGGATATTAAGACCAGGGAGGAAGGTGAGCCAGCTGCTGGGAGGGCAGGAGGAGCATCAGGTTTGATTGACAGCTGATACACCTGTTTTGGCACAGGGGGTACCCTACCTCGTGCCTGATCTCATTCCAAACCCACTCTGTTCCCCCAAAGCACTGTGATCAGTTCCCCATCCCCATCACCAGTGGCTTCTGAGCACCATGTGAGAACCGTGTGGCTGGAGCTTGGCAAGCGGCAGACCTGTCTACTCCGAGGCCTGGTCCAGTAGCTCTAGGATGGGCATGAGCTCATGGTCATGCTGACTTGGAGGCTTCAGCCCTGTGCCCCCCATCAACCCTGTGAAATGGCTGCAGAGCTGAGCTGAGAACGGGACAGGATGCCAGGGAACTGGGTGAAGGGCAATCTGGTTGGAATTTGGCTCCAGGCAGGTCCTGGTGCTGGGCACCATTTTTTTCTCGGCTTCTCTGTCAAAATGAGGAACTTGGATAATGAGCATTTCATGAGGCTCAAAATTCTACCTGAAAGACCATCTAGTCTCTTTAGTTTGAAAATGTTCTTTCTTCTAGAAAATGATGGTAGTGAAAAAAAAAGTTTTCCTTGGAACAATAAAATACTAACCGTCTTACATCAGCCTCCTAATTAAAAACCAATCAAAACAAAAACAAATGCTGACTGATGAAATCCCCAAGTCTGGGCACCACTGGGGTGGTGGGCTGAGCAGACTGGGGGCCAGCTGGCAGCACCAGCACCAAGCGCCAGGGCCCTGGAAACTGGGTCTGCCCTGCCAAGCACCTGAAATTCAAGCGAGCGGGAGCAGCTGGGGACTCTGCCTTCAATAATTGGAAGGATTCAAGCGAGCAGGACGTGGCCAATGAATCACTCCCTGTTCCGTTAGGTAAGACTAGGATTTCCACTCTCCAAAGATTCACCTGGATTTTCCCTCGGCCTTCCAACTTGTGAGAAGGGGGTGATGGAACTCTGGACTTCCTGTCAGCTTAAATTTTTTTTTTTTTTTTTTTTTTTTTTTGTCATCGAAACTGTAACAACTGATTACATCGTTTGGGATACAGCTGGCCACTTTGTGGGAGGAGTCTGCATGGCTGGCCTGGAGAAGGCTTGTCTCTGTCCTCAGTCATTGCTCCCTCTGACAAGATCACATTCTGCCGTCCAAGGAGCTGGTACCTGGTGCACTGTTGGGTGGCATTGGACTTGTTCAAACGGCTGCCTCCTTGCCTGCCAAAGAGATTCCTGATGCAGCATTTCCCCCTGGCCCGGGTTCTACTGATGGCAACGAGCAAGCAAAGGAAGTGGGAGGTCCTGGAGGGAGGGTGTGGGGGGAGGCCTCAGTGGTGATGCCCAGAGTCTGCACAGCCAGGCGAGGGTCCAGCACAGCTGCTGCCCCCGGGCCTGGGCTGATGAGCGAAACCCGACATGATTCAAAGGCAGCACAAGCTCCTTCCTGCCGCTGGAACACTGCACCTGGACCCTGCGCCGTCTGCCTCCACTCGGTTATTCTCTCTCGGCTCCCACTTGTTTTGTTTTCTGTTTGGACGTACAGTTGAGTTCACTTTGCGTGTGTTTACTCTTAGCTCTTTGTTGTTTATTTGTTGTTGTTTCCACTTGTGAGTATCCTTCTCCTCTTAATTTTATCTCTTTGACTTCTGCATTATTTCCCCACCTTTAAAAGAATATTTTTATTGATTTTTGGTGAGAGAAGAAGGAAGAGGGAGAAAGAAACATCAGTCTCAGAGCATAACATCAACGGGCCCACAGCCCAGGGATGTGCCCTGGCAGGGAATCGACAAACCAATTGGCAACTTTCTGGTGCATAGGGTGATACCCCCCAAATGGCCACAAAGTCCAGGTTCTCCCATACACACTTTTTTTTTTTTTAATCATAGAGTTGCTTCCTTTTTATATTGTTTTTAAAAAGTATTTTTAACCCTAGCTGGTTTGACTCAATGGATAGAGCATCAACCTGTGGTCCTGGGTTTGATTCCAGCTAAGGGCACATGCCTGGGTTACAGGCTCGATTTTCCCCACCCCACCCCTGTAGGGACATGCAGGAGGCAGCCAATCGATGATTCTCTTTCATCATTGATATTTCTATCTCTCCCCCTTCCTCTCTGAAATCAATTAAAAAATATATAAAAAAGTAAAAAACGAAGATGCAGCACTATCATCTACAGACACTAAAAATATGTGCACACAAGAAACAATGCGTTTGTAAAAACACGTATAAACCAACAGTAGGAGAGTTGCCTGGAGAAGGTAGGGGAGGATGGGAGTGAGGATAGGAAAGAAAAGAAAAAAAATGGGGAGCTCATGGGATTTATCTGGACACAGGTTATCCTTATTTCCAAGTCAGGGACTTGTAGGACAGAGGATGTCATTGTGAGTCCTGCCGGTCAGCATCCTTAAGATGGAATTCGTGTTCTCAACATGCAGGGACTGGTGTTCCTTTACTTCAGCTCATGGCACTGTGCTTCCAGAACCTTCTTGCCCTCAGCACTGGCCTGGATCATTATGAGGCTAAAAAGAACAGGATGTGCCAAGGCTTTGAAAACTCCTTGGTAACCTTTTATCATCCAGGGAGCTATAGGCTTCAGCTGTGTTTGCTGCCCCCGTGTGGCCCTGCTGTCCTTATCACTGGCTGGCTGGCCATTTAGAATCCTAATTAGCACTGGGGGCTGGTTTTCCAAGCATTGCCTCACAGGGAGGAGAAATCTGGGCCAGGTGAGTGAGGCAACATGCAAATTGGAAGAGGCCACCAGGGAACTTGTTAAGTTTAAGTCCTACTCTAGAATTTTCATTGCGCGGAGAAAGGTGTTATAAATCAGCCTGGCGTGGGCTGCAGACTCAGATGGAGGGCAGATTCTGGAATAGGGACTGGCCCAGGGGTAAGTGGGGTCATGGAAACCAGCGACGAGGGACACAGGGCAGGTTTCCTGTTCCCAGATTTATAAACCAAGGTCGGTGCTCCTGGACGGTGGCCATGGCTGGCCCAGTTCTGAGC